ACTGATAGTTTTATTTCTACATCTTGCTAAATTTTCCAGTTTTCTTGCTGTTTTTATGATTTCAGTCCTTTAAAATTTATTGACACTTATTTTGTTGTCTGACATATGGTTTGTGCTCTGTGAACACTTGAGAAGAATGTATATCTGTTCTTTGGAGCACGGTGCTTTATGTTTTTCGGAGTCTGATCTAGTTGATGTAACAAAATACCCTAGGGACTGGGGCACAGGTCAGTGGTAGAGCAGCTGCTTTGCATGTGCAAGGCCCTGAGTTCAGTTCCCAGCAGCTCCCACCAAAATAAAACAAAATAAAATAAGTCAAAACAAAAGCTTAGACTGGGTAATTTATAAACAATAGAAATTTATTGCTCACAGTTCTGGAGGCTGGAAAGTACAAGATCAAGGTGCGAGAAGATTCACTGTCAGGTGAAGACTCATTCCTCATAGATGATATGTGTTGTTACATGGTGGAGGGGCAAGGGGCAACCAAACTCCCTGAGAGGCCTCTTCTATAAGAATACTAATCTCATTTGAAAGTGCTTTGCCTTTATGATCCAATCAACACCAAAACTTTCAGGATTTAGATTTCAGATATGAATTTCAGAGGAACAAACATTCAGATCATATCAAGGTATATTAGGGCTAATTGGTTTATAGTGTTCAAGTCCTTCTCTAATGATCTTCTGTCTAGATGTTCTGTCCATTTTGGGGGGTATTGAAGTCTCCAGTTATTATTGTAGAATGCCTGTTTCTTCCTTTAAATCCGTAGTCATTTGCTTAATGTATTTGGGGACTCTTCTTCTTCTTTTTTTTTTTGGTACGTGTTTCTGAAGAAACTTATTTCTTTATAAATGTACCCTTTTTATCAATATATGCCCTTTTTTTCTCTCTTGTGACAGTTTCTGACTTGGTTTATTTTGCTTGATGTTAATCTAGTCATTCTAGAGAGCGCTAGGATGACTATATTAATATTTGCATGGAATATTTTTCCACCTTTCAGTGTAAATTTTGTCTTTAAATCTAAAGTAAGCCTCTTGGAGATGGCATAAAATTGGACCATGCTTTCTTTGCTTTTTTTTGAGATGGTCTCAGTATGAAGCTTAGGTTGGCCTTGAACTCAAGATCCTCCTGCCTCCAACTCCTAAGTGCTGGAATTACAGCACATAGACCACCATGCCCATGCCCAGCTTGGACCATACTTTTTTTTTTTTTAAACCCATTTCATCAATATCTATCTTTTGACTGAAACATGTAATCCATTTACACTTAAAGTGGTTACTAAAAAGAACCTCTGCAATTTTGCACTTTTCTTTTTCTATTACTTTTCTATTCTTCAGTTCCTCTATTACCACCTTCTTTTATGTAGATATTTTTTTGTAAAGTGTCATTTTCATTTTTTCCTTACATCCTTTTGTGTACATTTTTTAGGTATTTTCTTATTGTTTACCATGGGGCTTATAATGAACATCCTTATATCCTAAAACAATTGATAACAACTTATCAGTTCATGTGAAAATTCTGTTCCAATATAGCTGTTACTCTTATAACTTATTATTACAAATTATATCCTTATACATTGTGAGCTGGGGGTGTAGCTCAGTGGTAGAATGCATGTTTAGCATGTGTGAAGGCCTAGGTTACATCCCTAGCACTAAAAAACTCCAAACCAAACCAAAGCCTAACCAAATCAAAACAGAGACACATTACCTTTCATGCAGTTCTTTAAATCATGTGGAAAGTAAAAGTATACTCACAAGCCAAAAATACAGAATACCAACTTTTATACTTTCTGGTGCAATTGCCTTTACAGAAAAGTCTTTACCTGCCTTTATGATCCAAGCATTCTCAAAGGCCCCTTATTTCACATATGAATTTCAAAGGGAAAAAACATTCAGACAATATCAACATGCTTAAAAGTGATCAAGTTCTCTATTTCCCTAGTGTTCTTCTGACTAGATGTTCTACCCATTTTTTTTGGAACTACAGTATTCATAACAAACCTCCTCAAGCTTTTGTTCAGGAATGTCTTAACTTCTCCTTTACTCTGCATTTGAAGCACACAGAATTCTTGGTCAATGGGTCTTCTCTTGGCACTTTAAATGTTATCTTAGTGCCTTCTAGCCTCCATGGGTTCTGATGAAAAATCAGACTCTTATTGAGGGCCCCCCAACTTGTCCTAGCTGAGCATCTTCTCTCCTCTTGGGGTAGTCAAGATTTTTTGTCTTCCCACAATTTAATTATAACAAGACTTGGTGAGGAACTTCTTGAGTTTGTTGAGTGAGATGTGTAGACTTATGTCTTTCATCAGATTTGGGACATTTTTGACCATTATGCCTTCAGATATTATTTTTACCCCTTTCTCTATTCTTCTCTTTCTTGGGACAACGTATTATGCATTTTGTTCTGCTTGATGGTGTCCCACAGGTCCATTAACTCTGTTTAGTTTTCTTGGAACTTTTTTCTTTTTGTTCCTTAGACTGGACAATTTCAACTGTTCTAACTTGAAATTTACTGCTCAAATCCACTGCTGAAACTCTCTAGTGAATTTTTCATTTCATTTTAGAATATATTTCAGTGCTAGAACTTCTATTTGGTTCTCTTTTAAAAAAATAATTTGTATCTCTTTATTGATAGTCTCATTTTGTTCACACGTTTGTTTTCTTGATTCGTTTGGTTCTCTGCTCATGGTTTCTTTTAGCTCCTTGAGCACATTTAAGGCAGCTGATTTAAAGTGTTTGTTTAGCTGGGTATGGTAGTGTACACCTATAATTCCAGCTACCAGGGAGGCAGAGATTGAGAGGATCATGGTTCAAGGCCAGCCCAGCAAAGAGCAATCAAGACCCCATCTCAATAAATAAGCCAGACATGGTGGTTCATACCTGTAATCTCAGCCATGTGGGAGATATGATAGGAGAATCAAGACCTAAGGCTGGCTCTGGGCAAAAAGCATGAGACCAAACATAGCAATTTCTATACAAAAAAATAACTAAAGCAAAAAAGGGCTGTGGATGTGATTCAAGTAGTAGAGTGCATGCCTAGCAAGTATGAGGCACTCTGTTCAATTCCCAATACCACCAAAATAACAACAAAAAAGTCTTTGTTCATTAATGCAATATCTAGGTTTTCACAGGGACACTTTCTACCATTTTCTCCTTTTGAATGGGCTCTGTTTTACTGGTTGTTCAAATGCTTTCTAATTTTTGGTAAAAGCTAGACATTGGAATACTACTATGTGATGCAGTAAATCAATTTCCTCCTCCTCTCACTGTTCTTGATTGTTAAAGGCTAGAGTACTCTATTCACTATTTAGTAACATTTCCAAATAATTTTTGCAAAGGCCATTCCTCATCAGATATATTGTTGGATATATTGTTGTCACCACAGATTACATCTTTATATGTCATAGGCTGGTTGAATTATTTATTTTTTTAGTGCTGCTAGGAATTGAACCAAGGGCCTTGTGTGTGCTAGGCAAGTGCTCAGCCACTGAGTTATACCCTCAGCTAGTGTTTTGACAGAGATTTCCAAGAACAAAAGGAAAACAAAACATCTTTTCCAGCTGGGGGCGGGGAGGGGGGCATTGCTTTAACATTATTCACAACACCTCCTTAGTTTCTTGTTTTCATGAAGCCTAAAGATCAGCTAGACAGGAAAGCTTATGGCTTTTATCAGGTCTTTTCTGAGTTTATATCTTGTCCTGGGCATGAATGTGGCTTTCTAAATTTCCCTATTGTGCTTCTGAATGCCTTTGTTTCCCACAAGAAAGTCTTTCCCCAACTTTTCTTCCTAGGCTGTGAGTGGCTGACTTTAAGTTTAACCAAAATTGATGCTCCAGGTGACTGTGGTGTTTGAGTAAGTTAAAATGTTTTTGCTCCTACTGCTTTCTACTCTAAATTAGGTAAAATAGAGATAAGCACCTTGCATTAGTCCTTTAGGGAGTCCCAGACAGGTTAGAACAAACACAATGACTTCTCAGCAAGATCTGCTTTGTTTCTTCTGGAACCAGGGACCAGGGTCCCACACTGGGAATATAGGTTCTTGCTTTAAGAATGTCAAGCTACCAGGAAGAGGCTGGGGCACAGGCAAGTAAGAACACCATAAAGCTTTCCTACCATTTTTAAGTTGTCTTTTTCTTGATTCAGTGTTTGATTGGCTGCTGTAAACCTTTGACAAAGTTGGTTCTCACAGTTTATACTTGCTTTTTTTTTTTTAATGTTTATGTGAACAGGTTTTGGAGCTACCTACTCTGCCAATTTGCTCCACAGTGACATTTAGAACATGAGTTCCAATCAGCCCCAGCCCCACCCTCCAGCAAGGGTCTTGGATTTCCTCATCCTCTGCTCAACATTCCTGGCAGAAGCCAATCTGTTTAACATCCTCTGCTCCATCCAGTCAGTAGACTTGTATCTCTGGTCCAATTCTGGGGACCTTCTCTATCTTTCATTCTCTACCTGCCTCCCCCTCCCCATTTATAATTTGCTCTGTTCAGCACACAGAGCCATCTCTACATGGTGTGCACCATCTCTAACCTGAGCTCAACCATCTCTTTCTATACAGAGTCTGACCAGGGTATCTCTTTGTAATACAGTCTCTGTCTGACCAAAGCAAGGAAGCTAACACTGAGAGATTTGCACCGGTGAGCTGGTGAAGGGTCTTTGCAAAGGATTCTGAAAGGGCTGGGCAGTGTGGAAGCAGCCAGGAAGTAGGGCAGAGTCATGAGGCAAGGGACTGCCACCAACCTGGTCATTGGGCTCAGCAGGGGTCAGGCTGTACAGCAAAGCAAAGGGCCCTGGTGACCATAATGTTACACTCTTCTGTGTCAGGAGGAAAACCAGTATCCTGCTTAGGGCACACGGGACCAGGAGAGGGCAACTTCTTTTCTGATATTCAGCCTTGATTCTATGAGGCATAACACAGATGACGCCTCTTAGGGGTGAATGCAGGGTGACATGGATATCGTCTCCCCAGAATAAGGGCACCAGTGGGGAACCTGTTCTCAGTACCTGGTTGATGGTGAGGGTGGATGGCTTCCAGCTCAATAATGCCACAGCAGAGGGACCCACAGATTGCAGATCCAGGGTGGGTCACAGCAGGAGTATCACTCACACAGGCTAGTGCTGTAGGGGTACAAGGAGATGGTTCTGGAGCTGAGGGTTCCATCTCTGCCTCCCCAGGGCGAGCTCTTAGGCTGGGCATAGTTGGGACCTGAGAACCAAGAACACAGGTGAGTGTGCACAAAAGAGAGCTCCAGGGATCCATTCTCCCACCAGGCAGAAGTCTCTTCCTCCACCCCAAGACACAGAATTATGAGCCAGTGTTCCAGGTATGAAGGAGTAAGATGCTAATCCCCCAGGCAAAGTGAAAAGCAGGCATCCTTTTGAGAGCCCAAGTCCACTATGAGTAGAGCAGCAGCCCTCTCAGAGCCTGCTCCCTGCTGTGGGCCCACCCTTCTCCCTCCTGGTTCCTGACACTCATAATCCTATGGAGCTGAATGCACAAAACCCACCCACTGTGGGGAAGCAGCAGGCCCAAAGGGGTGGCCTGTGCTATGTAAACAATGGCCATTGTGAGCACTGATTGTCAATCCTAGCAGCCAGGTCTGTCTGATTTGCACTTGGCAGCAGCCACAGTGGGCATCTCCATATCTACCCTCCTGGGATGCTCTCCCACTGCACCAGCAGCTCCCACTCAGCCTCTTCATTTCCCCATTCTTGAGGACATATGTTCACTGCTATATCTACACCAACTTCCTTGGTGATTTTGTCTGATCTTGAGACAGCAACACCCCTTTATCCCGTGAACACTCCCAAACTTGGGTTCATCTCTAGTCCTTACTATTCCCTCTGGTAGGAAATGGAGGCATATAGCTCCCCATGGGGACAAGTTGCTGACTGCCCCCACTCCTTCACTATCCCCACCCTGTCCAGGGGTCTACCAGGGAGTAGGGCTTGACATGCTTCAGCTCATCTCTCACACTGCATCCCAACAGGTACCATTAACTCCACTACCACTGTGGACATATCAGGAAATGTTGGCAGAAACCTGAAGTGGAAGATGTGTCATCCTACGGACAGGATTTCTCCTCTTGGATACTTTTCCCAGTATTTCCTGAACATTCACTATATGCTGACATCTGTTCTGAGGGAAAGTGTGGGGCACATCAGGGACCCCTATCCTCATGGAGCTCACTGGGGTAACAGATCATAGCAAATGCATCAGTGAGAAGGGGTAATTGCTCTGGACAAAGGCAGCATGGGAGAGTCATTTAAACTAGGGTGGTCAAGGTTGGCCTCACTGAGCAAGTAGACCTAAAAGTGAGAGAAAGAGTGGCAGAAGCAAAGTGCGCATCAAGGCTGGGGAGGAAGGAGCATGCAGGACAGGTTTCCTGTCCAGTGTGGACAGGAAAAGGAGAAATGGGGCATACCCAAGAGGCACTATATTGGGTTCCTCAGGATTGCAATCTGAAATGCAGGCTCTGCAGCATAAGTCTCTGAAGGTGCAGATGCTTAGAGGGCAACAGATGAGCATCCCTCACCACCCTGTGAAGGAGCACAAAGTGTCCTGGTGTAGTGTCCTTTCTGCCTCTCCTAGGAGGATGGCCTTCCCCCCCCCACTTAGGGTTGAGATAGTTGTTTAGGGGGGATGTAAGAGGCAGTAGTAGTGCCACCTGCTGAGTGAGGTGTGGTGAAGGGGACTAGATAGGAGCTGAGGAGTGGCTTCACTGAAGAATGGTGGCAGGAGGATGGGGTAGGGAGCAATGGGATGTTTGGGGAAGGAAGAGGGGCTGAGAAGGACTACTGGACTGAGCTCACAGAGGAACCCACAACCTGGTCTGAGTGAGGCAGTCAGAGACCAAGTGCAGGAACAAAACTTGTAGGTGAAGGCCAGGAGGTAAGGACAGAGCTCAGAGTGTGATCACTGGAAGAGACTGCAAGAGGCCTTGACTGCCTGATGAAGCAAGGCATGGGCTGCATTTGTACATCAGGAGAGATAAAACAAACATCTAAAAAGATTAACCTGGGAGGGTGCGCATAAAGATGGTGTGAGATGAGATTCAAAGCAGGAAAAACACTAACGAGTGGACAATCTTCATGACTTGCTCCCATCCATCTTTTGCTCTGTTTCCACTGCTGTATAGATGCGGACATTAGTTAACATTTCGCAACGTTCTGAATTGAGAAGGTTGGTGGAGTAGCTCAAGTGGTAGAGCGCTTGCCTAGCAAGCGTGTTTGCAGCACTTATTCGTTAATTTTATTCTAAAATACTTTGAATTCTCATAATTGCTACTGAATAGGGGCAGTAACAAATGGCTCAAAACTTAAAAGGGTGAAAAATCTCCAGCTAGCCATTTGGTCCCCCTCCCAGTTTCTGGTGTATCCTTAATACTCTAGGTTTACACAAGCAGACATACACGGTTTTTTTTTTTGTTTTTGCCTTTTCACTGTAACTTGTACCAAACTATGTAGTTGTTTCACTCCTTGTTTTTCTCATCTCATTCCATGTGGGCTCTAGTCCACAGTATAGACTTAATCTGTCCTAGGCAGAATGTCCCTCCCCTCATAGCCACCTCCTAATCCCTAAATTTGTGGCTATCACACCACTCAGCTAAGGTACTTCGCAGAAGGAATTAAGGGTATGGACACGGATTTCCCTGATGACCCCAATCTAACGACACGAGCCCTTAAAAGCCGGAGAAAGAGATGACAAGCCAATGCTAGTCCCAGCCATAAGGCCGCTCTCGCTGGCAGCAAGGAAACGCGAACCTCCTGGCAACAATCACAAGGCAACCGATTCTGGCAACAGTTGAATGAGACTGCAAGCAGATTTTCCTTGCTAAAGTCTGGGACTGGTTATGAGAAGACAGGCGATCGCAAGGCCCAGCAACAACCCTCCCGCGACATGAACCGCAAATGGGCCCTGGAGGAACACCTCAGCCCTACTTCCAAGAAAACAGGTCCCTCTCTCCCCAGAACCCTTCTTCACCGGGCGGGGGAATCCATCACTGCTGGGACCACTCGGGCAGAACACTGGCGCCAAGAAGCCCTAGCATCTCCAGGCTCTGCGGGTCTCTGATATCAACTGAGCTCCCGGGCACCTTCAACCTCACACCTGTCGTGTCGCTCCGCCCTAACTCCACCGCGTCCCAGCCTCCAGGGCACAGTTCCGGCCCGGGCACCTGCAAAGCACAGCCCTCGCAACCCGCCTGGAGATCCCTTCAAGGCACCGCCTCTGCCCCAGGCCCAGCCACGCCCGCGCGTGCCGGCGCTCCCACAACTCCCCGCGCGGCTCCGCTCCCCATCAGGCCGCGTCTCGCCGCCCGCCTGGCGCGGCCTCACCACGGGACATCGGGAGCACCGGATTCGGGTTCTGAAGCAGAGGCTTCGCTCTGTGAACTCACCTCGGGTGGTGCTCGCGCCGGACTGGATCTTAACGCAGCAGCACCAAAGCGTCTCGTCGCTGGCACAACTGACACTGGAAGTCCCGCCCCGACTTCCGGCCCGCGCCTCCGCCCCCGCCCCGTACCTAAAGGTGTAGTGGCTCCTGACCTTGGAAGGCTGCGCGACTAGGTGGCTCAGCCCAGAACCCGGGTTCTGCGAGCTGGTGTACCTTCCTTAGTTCAGCTCTCGGAGTCCACTCGTGCACACGACCAAGTGGCAACTAAATAAGAGAGTGAAGGACAGACTGCTGGAAGTCAAGGAGACACTTCTCCCTAGGAAATGCCTGTTTGCATCTGGAAGACATCTCCGCCCTCAGGCAATGCAAAAATAGGCTATAAAACCCACTCCCCACCCTGACCCACGGGATCACCGGTTTCCGGGTCCCCCTGCATTCTCCAATATGCAGTCTTTCTCTTCTCTTCTCCAACTAAATTCTCTACAAATAAAATCTTTCCGACCTCTGCTGTTAGAGTCTGTGCTTTCATTCTCAGAGCAGGCTCAAGAACCCTGAGCACCTGAAATCCCTGCATGTGTCATCCGTGCATCAAGAGGACACTATTACAAATGCAGGGCAAACAAAGTATACTGCGGTACTGGGAGATTTTAATACAGAATCGGAGCAGCTTGTAGCTTGATAAAAACATAAAGTTGGCTGGGATAAAGCTCAGTGTCAGAACGCTGGCCTTGCACTTGCACGTTCATCCCCACCAAGGCGGACGGGGTGGGGGGTGGGGCGGCGAGCAGTAAACACGTTAAGAAATGAATCAGTAAATGATTCAGTAGGCGTGGCTCTAGCGATAGAGCACCTGACTAACAAGCTGTACCGCCAAAAAATATTGCATTGGGTTGAACATGTACAGACTTTTTGTCGTTAGTTCCTAATCAATATAGTGTAACAACTACTTAGACGGTTTTCCACTTATTATTTATTACAAGTAATGTAGAGATCACTGGAAGTATACAGGAAGATATGCATATGTTATATGCAAATGTAATCCCATTTTAAATAAGGAACTTGAGGGTCTGGAGTTTGGTATGCTTGGGTTTCCGGGAAATAATCCACTGGGGTTACCAAAAGACCATTGTATAGGACTGTATAAGGGAATACTGTTCAGCATTTTAAAAGAAGGAAATCCTGACATTCTAGACAGTATGGCTGAACCTGGAAGACATTATGTTAAGTGAAATAAGCCAGAAACAAAAAAGACCAATACCTCGAGATTTACGGTGTGGAATCTAAAAACACTGTGTGTGAGAAGACCGGGATTAACGCGCAGGGCCCTGTCTGTGGGGTACAGGATGGCAGGTAGGTGACGCGAAGAGCTGAGCTATGGCTGACCACTCTTCCGGGAACCCACCCAGAGACAGTAATGTAAAAACTCCAGGTATCCAGTCTCAGGGAGGTGGATTCTGGAGCCTCCCTGGCACCACGTGGCTCTGGGTGAATCCACCAGTGGCGGCTGTTAGGGTGAACAAAAAGAAGCCATGTCAGGATCAGACCTCATCCCTTGCAGGCAGCTTTCTGGAAACAGAAACACCTAGCCTCAAGGAAATGACCAACTGTCACCTTGCCGAGGGTCTGGAGCTAACCAACTTATCTACCTAATTACCACTTAACTCCTCTAGCTTCCCCTAGCAGTCCTTAACTCCACTCTGGGAAAATCTTCCACCAAGCAGAATTTCCCATCCAGACCCCTTCCTATATCTACTCCAAGTCTGTAAGCGTCAGTGGGCTTCTGGTTTTGGCTGGATACCCACCTCTGCAGGGCTGCTTCCGGAACAATAAACCCTGTGCTAGCTGGCATTTGAGCCATCTCTCTGCCTCTTCCTTGCCTCTTTTAATCTAACATTGGGTTGGCTCAAGATCAGGCCACAGCCTCTGACCAGATGGCATAGAGCAGGGCCAGGGTCAAGGTCAGAGCTCTGGCAGTGATCGAGTGTGGTAGGCTCAGCTGTGGGGTGCAGAGTCCCAGACCTCACCTGGAGCAGGTACCTCTCCTAAGACAGGAATCTTGCCTCAGACACGAACTTCCCCCTTGATACTGGAGTGTTGTTTCCGAGTTTGTGTCCTGGCTTAGTCAATGATTGGAGACCCTGGACCAGGAGTTAAGAGTTAAAACAAGCACAAGGTTTATTGAAAGGATGGCAAAGCACCCTGATGAGTGGAGCTTAGTGAAAGAGCTAAGCCAAAGAAAGGCTAAAGTCTAGGAAATGATATAGGGTATTAACTGACTTAGGTCCAACTATTTTACCTTGAAGCTGTATTCATAATTAGCTATCTAATTAACTTCTTGCTGAACCCAACCATCTGGCTGCCTTTCCCCATCCTTATCCGACTGGACATTCCAAGACAGTCTCATTAGTCCATCCTGTCCTTGGGACTTGTCATATCTCAACCTTAGAAAGGCACCTTGTCCAAGACCGGAACCTTACCTCAGACAGGGACCTTACCTCTTAGACAGGGACTTTGCCTCAGACAAGAACTTCTCTTTAGATGAGTACTTGCCTCAAACAGGAACCTTACTGCAAGAAGGAAACTCTGCTTCAGAGTGGAACCTCTCCTGACACAGGATCCTTGCCTCAGGAAGGGATCTCGCCTCAGAAAGGACTGTTTCCTGAGTTTTAGGACAAAACTCCAGCTCCAGGAGTCCCAACAGATTAGTCTTGGCCACTCATTCAATACACCAATTACAGTGGAGTAGTGATGAAGAGCAGAGCAAGGAGATTTATTTAATGAGGTCACAGAAGAGGGAAAGTAAGCATTTCAGCCCATATTTGGGGTACTGACATGAGATTTAGGTTTATATAGAGGGAGAATTGGGGCATGAAATTAGAGGTATGCATAATTCAGTGGTTTTGGTCAAAGGTGTGGTCTGATTGATCCTTCTCTCTGGATTGGTCAAGTAGGTCCTAGGTAGATTTGACTCTTGTCAATGATCAATTCTGTCATCCTCAGAATCAGAAGTGATTACAAGAGAGAAGTGCTCAGAGAAAAGGAGAGAGATGCAAAATGGAAACAATAGATGCTAGCCTTTTATTCTGCTTTTAGTTAACTGTGGATCCAAGTGAGGAGTCAGTGCTTTTTAGCAAAAGCAGTTTCTAAGTGCCTGTTATAGCACCTCACCTCAGACAAGAACCTTGCCTGAGACAGGAACCTTGCTACAGACAGGAGCCTCAGGTAAGGTACCAGGGGGTGGGGTAAAGATGTTAGGGAGAAAAGTGTGGCCTTGGCTGGGGTGAGGAGGGACTTGGTGCCCACTACCTTGAGCTCAACCACAAGAGCTTCTCATTTCAGACTAAGGACTAAGAAAAGGAAAGGAAATGAAAAACACTACATATTCTCAGATTTCAGCCAATGATTCACCAACAAGCAGAGAAATAAAGGCCAGTCATTTCCCCTGATCAGAAACTGGCCACATAATCAACTTGTCATTTGGTCACTTGTGTCAGTCCTTAACTGACCACTCACTTCATTCCATACCCTTCCTTGCACTCTTTTCTCCAGGCTCACCTGGTAGGTTGCTTGTGGAGGAAAGCCCCTCCCATTACAGAGGCATGGTGGGAACAAAATACCAAGAGCCAAGGGAAATGAGGAAGGAGGGGCCCAGTATATGGAAGGCTGAAATGAGGAAAAAGGCACCAAACTTACAGAAATGTTCCTGCTGTGAAATTCAAACCATAATTTGAGGAAGAGACAACCAATAAATTAATGAAGACCACAAAAAGGAAACAGCTAATCAAAAGTAGTTAACCCAAGATATAAAACCTACTCTCAACCCTATCTCAGTGCTATGCTCTCTTGTCTAGCTGCCTGCATTTTTCCCTTAAAGAGTGTCCTAATAAATCTTTGCTTTTCCTACTCTCCCAGCTCAGTAAATTCTTTTTCCAATCCATGGCTCCAAAATATGCAACATTGCCTACCTTGTAGATTTTATATTTGCCAGTGTCCCCAGTTGTACCAATTCTATACAACCCAACCCTTCTCTCCTATATAGGCAGTAGTCCCCCCTTATCCATGGGGGATTCATTACAAGAACTCCAGTGGATAACTTGGATATATACTATATTATATACTCTATGTACTATTTTTTCCTGCATATACTATTTTTTCTTTTATATACTTGTTATTGAGGGGGATAGTCTCAGAAGATCTGTTTCTTTGCATCCCGAACAAAGAATTGGACAGAGTTGCACAGATTGCAAAGCAACAGCAGCATCAAAGTTTTGTTGAAAGTGAAGGGAAAGTAAAGGCAGAAGGACACAGAGAGAGGTGGGCTCTGAAGAGGTGGATCAAGAATGCCTTTCTTTGTTCAATGGGCAATTTTGTAAGATGTAAGGGAAAATCTAGGTGGTACTTGTAGGAGGGGCTAGGGTAGTTGATAAGTTTGATTGACAAAGTCTTGTTACACAACATGAGGCATTCTGTGCATGTGCTTATACCACTTCTAGGATTTTAATTTTGTGTATGAAATGCACCAAATATTCAAAAGGTCTTAAGTGGAGGGATTTATTGGAGAGGTCAGATTGAGGGCAGATTTCTCTTTACCGAGCATGCACCATTTTCAGGTATGAACTGGTCAAGAGATTCCCTAGTCTTTTGGGGGAATTTACAACTTTAGAGGAATTTACAACTGCAATTCTGACCATAAAATGATCACAAGAGACAATGTCCAAGGATGGTACTGGGTGGAAACAAGGAGTCCCATGGCATTGTTTTTCCTGTTACTAGCTTGCCTCATAACTACCTACCTACCTATGATAACATTTAATTGGTAAATTAGGCACAGTAAGAGATTAACAAGAACTAATAATAAGATAGAATAATTATAGCAATATGCTTTAATAAAAGTAATTTAAAACTTATGAATTGTTCATTCCTATAATTTAATATTTTCAGACTGCATTTGACCAAAGGTAACTGAAACTGTAAAGTGAAAGCATGCATAAGGATTGGAGGATGACTGAATCCTATTGGTTCTGTTTCTCTGGAGGACTGTGACTGACATAGCTGGGAAGGAGAGGTTGGGGATGAGGAATGAGGGACAGTGAGTGAAAGTTGCTGGGGTAGGTGAGTTAAGGACATTTATGCCTTTTTCTTTTCAGTCTTTGGACAGTGCGAGAAGGAGCAATGCTTTTTCCTTTACTGTTTTTTATGTAATATTCACCACTTTGTAAATACGAAATGAATAAGTCAAGTTCCTTTGTGATTCTGCTCTATGGAGACAACTCTCAGGATTCCAGTAAATATCCTTCCAAACTTCTGAGATAAAAATCAAATCCATTCTTTCTTCTTTTCTTTCTCTGACACAGTAATATCTCAGTGAACATTGACATGCATATGCTTTTTTTCATTTAGTATATGTAGGTATCTTTTCACATCAACATATACAGAACTATGCCATTATTTGATAACTTGTAAACACTTGAGTTGTTTCTTTGCTTTCACAAGCAGTGTTGCAAAGAACATGCTGTATGTGTAACAGGGGCGTAAAAGCTGCTTTTGTAGAGGAGCACTAACTTCTTACTTGGGCTCAGGAATTAACTAAAGGCAGAAAGCAGTTAGATGGTTGCACTGCCTCTTTTACATAGGAAGATTTATTCCATAGGAATAAATTGACAGTGGGGAAAATGTAACCACAACCACAAAAGGAAAAACCTTTTTGTTCAGCCAGCTTGCCTGCTGGCCAGTTTATTCTGCTTGTTGATTAAACTGATATTCTTTTCCTCTTTGTCTAAATGCGGGAGAATCCAAGATTAACTTCCTCTGCTCTTCAATTAGACCAGGCAGTCTTCTACCCCTTATCTCTTACTGACCACCAAAGCAGTAAACCTACCAACCAAGACATACAGCTTCAGAGAAGTGGCACTGGACACCAGGAAAATCAAGGCCAGCAGCTATGATAAACATGCATCTAGCTACACAGTTAATCTGAGCCCTGAACTCCCCTTTAAAAAGTGGACATTTTCTCTCATAAGTAGGACGACAGAGCTATGAGAGGTTGACTCTCCCTATCCTCTTCTTTGTTCGATGAATAATAACCTATTTCTTTTTCCTCAACACCCTGCTTTCATTATTTGTAAGCTGTGAATTGGCATAAAGGCCAAGGGGCTGGTTTTCCAGTAACATGTGTACCTTTAAACACATCGAGGAGTGTTTCTGCAGGTAAACTCCCCCTGGAAATCATAATGACTGTGTGTCAGACCCCCAGGTGCCTAAGATTTTATTTCCCACAGGCCCTTTACCAAGGTTATCTAGCTGAGTCTTACAGGCACCAGGGGTGACTGCAACTTTTGTTTTGCAGATAAGGAACTGAGGTTGAAGGGGCAGTCTGAAGCCACAGCTTGCCTTACTTACTGTACAGAAATGTGCAGGTAATGTGTTTAGTTGTTTTGCATCCTCTAATCAGTTTTTTCATCGTTTTTTACATTTATTCACATATGTATATATTGTTTGGGCCACCTTCACCTCCCCACACACACTCAGTTTCAATCAATCTTAGTATGTTGCTTTTATAAAGCAATAATTTGAACCCCCTTTTTGTACTTCTTCATGATTACATTGTCCACTTATTCTATTCATTACCTCTTCTACACAGCTATAACCTAAGGAATATATACTTATTGCTGTGAATATTTTTCTTTTTTTGGCAGGACTGGGGTTTGACCTCAGGGACTCACGCTTGCTAGGCAGTCACTCTTACTGCTTGAGCCACTCCACCAGCCCTTTTTTTTGTGATGGGTTTTATTGAGATAGGGTCTTGAGAACTACTAGCCCAAGGCTGGCTTTGAAACATGATCCTCCTGATTTCTGCTTCCTGAGTAGCTAGGATTACAGGCATGAGCCACCAACATCTGTCTTATTTCCCTCTTGAATTACAGTTTAGCCTGCATAGAACTCTAGGTTCACAGTTATTTTCCCAGAGTCCATTGAAAGCTATTACTTTCATCTTCTGGTCTATAGTATTACTGAAAAGTTTTGCTGAATTATTCTCTCTGCTTTTTAAGTTTTGGTGTGCCTGGAGTTTGAACTCAGTGCTTCATGTGTTTGCTAAGCAGGCATTCTACTGCTTGAGCCATATCTCTAGTCCATTTCACTCTGGTTATTTTGAAGATGGAGTTTCATGAACTGTCTGCCTAGGCTAGCCTGGAAACTTGATCCTCTAGCTCTCAGTCTCCCAACGGCTTTAAATACCACCTCTTGAAGTCCAGATTCACATTACTAGCCCACTCCTTTCCCTGAGCCCTAGAGCACACTTCATTTGTTCATGCATCCCACAATCATGAACATGCACCCTGTTTCAGGTTGGAGTGTGTTGGAGGTAAGGAGAGATGAGGAAGTGAGACAGAGTTTGGGCAATTATTTGGCTGTGAAAGAAGCTGGTTTCACCTGGAAGGTGGGTGAACCATTAGAAGGGGAGAAGCTGAGGAAGGGGAAGAGTTCTGTCAAGGATGGGCAATTCCTGAAGGTGTGGAAGGGAAAGAGACATTGGACATAGGTGAGAGACTGACTTCAGTGGAAAAACAGAAATGCAGGTAGATCCAGATGGAGTTCTGTGCAGATGTGGAGTGGGAAGTTGAGGAAGTTTAGTCTGGTTGCTTATGCTCTGTTCCTTGTGGTAGATGAAGCTCTAGATTGTCGGAGAATGGGAGATTGAGAGAAATGAAAGTTTGAGTTGTTATGGAGAGACCAGACCTGTTTCTTATCACTTCTTCCCCTCCTGGGGAAGCTCATCCCTCAGATCTCCTTGCTCTCCTTTCCAGAATGAGCCCAAGGTTGTGACTGCAGCCAATGGGAGATGTGAATTCCACATGACTATTGTTTTTTCTTACTTGACAGTTTTCATTCTTCCATCACTAGAAACTGACTGTATCTTTTGTCTCAGACAGTGAGACCAGACCTGAGAACAAATTGTGGACACACTACTTTATTTGGAATTGAAAGAAGTAGTGAATTATAGCTTCATCAATCTCACTCCCAGTGACTCTTGTTAACTCTTGTAATTCCAGATCTTCAATGAAGGAGTGTTTTTGTGCATGTGGTTCTTTCCTGAGAAGGTCCAAGGTGTCCACCTTTGAGACCACCTACACTGCATTCTGCGGATTTTGGCATCAAGGACAGAGGGAACCCGTGTGGTCAGGCTCGGCGTGGCTCTTGGATCAGGCCTGACCAAGCACAGGCGTTTGTAGAGACACAGCACTCTGGCGTTTTTCCAAGTGTTCTGAACTTGTGAGCAGTTGAGATGTTCGCCACTATTCTTCCACCTGCCACACCTTGGTATGTGGCCTGAGGGTGTTGAATAGAAGCCCTAGCCCCTCTCCAACGGAGCCCTATCCAGCCTGTTGCCATAGTTTGATGCTATTCTAATTTTCACAAAGAGGCCTCAGGGAATGTCCCTGTCTTCCAATGCTTGGCTTAGAAACTTGTAATAAGACAAGGATAATCAGGAGTCTATGTGCTTTGTGTAAGGAAATATAGGCCCCAAAATGACCACGTGGAGAGGAGTGATCTGGCCAAGAGATTCTTTATTGCTGGGTGGGAGAGAGAGAGAGAGAGAGAGAGAGAGAGAGAGAGAGAGAGAGAGAGAGCAAACACAACCCCCCCTTCCTTAACAAACAAAAAAGGAAGGAATGTTGGCAATAATGGCGCCCATAGGTTTCAGTTCTTACTGCACCGTTAAGCTTCCGTTTCCCAGGGTAACAGTCCTGCCTCAAGTCTAGCCTGAATTCTCCTTCTGCCCCAACCTCCAACCAGCATGAACCATAAGATCCTAACCAATCAGATCATGCTGAGTCTCACCGAGGGTATTTAAACCGCCCCCCCCCCGCCCCCAATCTTGGCTCTGTTCTTTCCCTCTCCCACCCAGCAATAAAGAATCTCTTGGCCAGATCACTCCTCTCCACGTGGTCATTTTCGGGCCTATATTTCCTTACACTTTGTGTACTGGGCGCCTGGGATGTCCTACCTGAGTGAGTTTTTTCAAACGTGTGTGAGAGGCCACAGTAGGCCCGACCTGAACTCAGCCTGAGCACTACTTGGAGCTAGAGGAAAAGTTCAAGAATGGGGGATCCTGCCTGGCGAAATGTCCCAGGACTGGATTCACAGTCTGGGAGAGGGGCCCAGGCAGCAGGAGTGTTTGGGCTCCTTGCCGCGCGGATCCCAAAGCTAAAGAAGAGAACCGCTCAACAGAGATTTAGACTGCGGTGAGCCGCCGGAATCCCGGTATCTGATTGGCCCGCGAGCTAGACGGACGGGCGGAAGTCCAGGGCGGGGAATTTCCGCTTCCGTGGGTTTTGCCTGTACCGCGAGCTGTCTGACGACCTCCCTTTTTCCACTCAGGTGGCGTAGCTGAGGGAGTCCTAGGCCGCGGATTCCTGGCGTGCAGGTGCTGAGATGGGCGGAAACGGCGCCGGCGCCCTGAGGATGAAGGTTGCCTGCGGAGCGAGCGACGCCCACGGCGTCTGTTGAGCGGCGGCTGGGCGGGGCGGCGCGATTCCCGAGCCCAGGCGGTGGAGGTGCGGTCACCGGCCCGGGTCGACAATGGCCGGGAGTTGGCGCATGGCTGGAAACTGCTTTTTGTACAGGAGTAGGTTAAGGTCGTGGAAGAGCAGTGCCGTGAACGCACCGCGACACCGCGGTGGTATGAAAGGGGGAGGGGAAAGGCGGAAGATGACGCCCCACACTTGAGCTAGCACAGCCCGGCGTTCATTCATTGACTCAGTGGGCACTCAATAAACGTTGACTAGGGCTTAGTATCGTTTGTTTGCGTTTTGCAAGTGCCATTCTGAGAGCCTTATACACGTTCTTATTTAACTCTTAAAATAATCACTAAGGTAATGGCTGAGATTATTCTCATTTTATTTATAGTCTGGAGAAATCCGAGGCACCTTCCTAGGATCTCTACTTAAGTGAGTGGTGTATCCATTATTGAAAGTCAATCCCGTTGGATTCCCTAGTCCAGGCTACTAACAGCAGTTTAACTACTCCCAGATGAGTCGAGCGTGAAGGCAGAGTACATTAAGATGATGATGGGGGAGGGGTGTTGAATATTATTAAAGTACACTATACGTATGAAAATAGAATAATGAAGCCCATTAAAATTGTAAAAAGTTGGGGGAAAAGGGATCAAAGTGCACTATATGCATGTATGGAAATACACAGTTAACCTCTGTGCAATCAATATATGCTAATAAAAAATTTTTAGGTCATACCGGGGTTTAAACTCAGGGCCTTGTGCTTGCTGGGCAAACGCTCTACCGCTTAAGCCATACTTAGAGCCCTTTTTGCTTTTAGGTTATTTTTCATATAGGGTCTCCTGGTTTTGTCCAGTCCTCCCACCTTGATCCTACTACCCATGCTTTCTGTGTAGCTGGGATTACAGGCTCATCACTACACCCACCTATTGAGATGGGGGTCTCACTTTTTGCTTGGTTTGTCCTTGAACCTTGATCCTCTTGGGTAGCTGGAATTACAGCTGTGAGCTCTACCCCCGGCTAATTGCTTTTTTAAATTTTCTTTTTGGTGGCCCAGGGGATTGAACTCATGGCCTCATACTTAAAATTTCTGGCCCTATCCCAGACCTACAGAATTGGAGCATGTGTTTTATAAGATCTTCAAGTGATTCATACACACATTAACTTTTTTTTTCTGTATTGCTGATTGAACTCAGGGCCTTGCACATGCTCACACATTAACTTTTAAATAGCATTAACCGAGTGTAATTGAGATACAATAAAAAGCACATACTTAAATAAAAGGACCCCTTGTGATACATTAAGGACGTGAGCTGCAGGGCGCCAATGGCCAGTCCTGGCTGAGGACCTGGAGGCTTTCTCTGACTCAGGATCACCTCAGCTGGTGAACTGTGTGTGGTCAGTAAGCTTGGGTTTGCTAGTCAGAGAAAACCTTTCCAACAGAGAGGCTTAAGTGATGAAGATAGGGCAGTTTATTCCAGAGTGTGTTCTGGGATGTGAGGGTTGCACAATGTATCTCTGAGGGTCTCTGGGCTTGTCCTGTGGTCACTCCAGGCAGGGGTATTTCTCTCTCTCTTTTTTTTTAATTAGGGGAGGAAAAGTTCTATAGGTAAACTTCCTTCAACTTCTCATTGACCAGAGGTGGGCCTTGCAGTCACTTGGGGCCAAGAGAGAAGGGCACATTCCTTCCTGAATTAAAGGAAGGGGTTCATATATATAGAGATATATATAGAGAATATAGGGAGGCAACTGGCTGTGCCATTTGGGAGTGACACCTTGTGTTAGCTGTTAGTGCTAAAATGAACCCACACCCATGGCTTTAAATTTTACATTTCCAAATATATAATGAGCCAGTCCCAACTTCTCTTCTGAATTTTGGACTTGAGTATCCAAATGCTCTCATTTCTCACTTGTAACTCTAATAGGTTTTTTTTTTTTTCCTTTTTTTGAGAACAGTTTTACAATGTAGTCCAGTTTGGCCTTGGACTCAAATCCTCCTGTCTCACCCTCCTAAGTGCTAGCATTCTAAGCATACACCACTAAAAGATACCTTTTTGTTTTATTTGAGATAGGGTGTCACTATGTAATAGTCTGGCCTCAAATTTTCAATCCTCCTGTTCAGCCTCCCGAGTGTTGGGATTACTGACATGCGCTACCATGCCTGTCACTAATAGGTGCCTGAAAAATAACATATAAGCCAGGTGCCAGTGGCTCATGCCTGTAATCCTAGCTACTTGTGAGACTGAGATCGAAAGGATCACGGTTTGAGGCCAGCCCAGGAAAACAGTTGGTGATACCCCCATCTTCAAAATAACCTAGAGCAAATGGACTGGAGGTGTGGCTTAAGGGGTCTAGCACCTGCTTTGCGAGAGCCTACTTTTCAAGTGTGAAGCCTTGAGTTCAAATCCCAGTTTCACCAAAAAAAAAAAAAAAAACTCATATAAAAACAAGCTTGATTTTTATCCTTCACATATATTCCTGCAGTCTTAACTTTTTGAGTAAATGGAAATTTGATCATTTCACTTGCTCAGTTAAAAAATGATGTCTAATCCTACACATAATTCATTAGCAAACCCTATTGACTTCCTCTGAAATGCATCTAGATTCTGACCCTCTCTCATCACCTATGTCCATCTCCAGCTAGATTATTGCTGAACCCTTCTTGTTGATTTCCCTTCTTTAAATCTCCCACCCCACCCCTTCTCAAAGTAGTAACTGGTAAGGCCAAGTAGTGCCAATCATTTCCATCTCATTTAAAAGGAAAGCCATAGCCCTAAGGCCTCGTCTCTTGCCTTCCCCCTATTACGTGTCAGCCTCTCTGGCCTCTTTGTTGTTCTTTGAACATATCAAGTAGACTTGTGCTTCAGGACTTTTGTTTTTGTACCTCTCTCTGCCTGGGATGTACCTCCTGATAACCACATGGTGCCTGCCCTCTCTCTATCCAGGTGTCTGCTTTCATTTCTTGGCCACCTGTGTAAAATACTTTCTTTTACCAGTTGCTGCCCTAATGCTGCTTCTTTCTTTCTGACTTTTTCAACCTTCTGTTCGCTTGTGCATTGCTTTAGAGTGGGAGTTTAGTCTTAGCTGTGTGCCCACTGTCCAGGATCTTGTAGGTAGGCCTGAGAGATACAGCTTATTGCCTCCCCTGGCAAGCACACTGCCAGAATCTTGGTTTTCATTTGGAGGCCTTGAGACACTGTCATACCTCAGCAAAGCTTCACTCTGGAGGTGCAGGGAAGATGCATCTCCATTCTGAGATGGTCTCAGAAGCTACTAGATGCTTAGTCCATCCACCCTGTTGTATTGGGCAGCTCATAGCTGGGTTTCTGCTGCTGCTGCAGACCTGTTGAGGCCTGTGCCCAGAAGTCTTGGAGCAGTTGTGAGAAACTGGTCAAGGCTCATCACACTCCTCTTTCTACACAGCTACCTCTTCAGGAGAAGCTTAGAGATCTGGTGATGGCTGTCAAGCAGCCCCTTCCTGATAGACTCCAGGTGAGTGGTCCTTACAGAGACCCTATATGTGTCCTCAGCTCTTTCTTGACAAAAATCTCTCCAGAGTTCTCTCTGAGGGGCTGGTCCCAGAATGTAGCTAGCTGACCGTCTCCACTGATTCTTCAGTCCATCAAGTCTGTGAAGTAGGCTCCTCACTCTTATTTCCTCATGCCTGGACTAGCCACAGTAAAGGCAGGGATGCCCCAAGAGGAGTCAGTGTGGTAGGTCCACAGTACTTACTCCGAGGGAAGGCTAGTGCTTATACTTAGGTACTTGGTCAATCTTGAGCCTAGTGTTTCTCCCTGCAAGGCCCAATCTTGGCCTGGCCCCCAGGGATGCAGCAAGATCTTGTCATTCCAGGTCTTGGTTTCCTTTGAGGATGTGGCTTTGCTCCTTTCCCAGGATGAGTGGGGATGCCTGGGCCCTGCTCAGAGAGGCCTCTACAGGGATGTGATGCTGGAGACCTATGGAAACCTAGTCTCCCTAGGTAAGTTTCCTTCCTAGGACTCAGCTCTGGAGCCACCTCCTCTATGAATAACGTGGGGCTCAGGGGTTCCTCTCTTCTGGCCCAAAGACCTGGCATTTTAAGCCTGCTCCCAAGCAGGTCTGGTTTGTGCAGAGCAGGGGATGGTAGTGCTGGGACCCTCCTTGTAAGAAGTGTGGAAACAGAATATCATACACTGCACACCTAGTATATTCATACCCTCTGACTTATCTTTGTGTATCTTTAGGGCCAGTGGTAGGATACACAATTTATAGATGTACCTGAGGCTAACAAATGTTATCACTTGCTTAAGTGCACAGAGGATGTTGGTCACAGGTCTGAGATATGAATCCATATGGTTTCAGAATCCTGCCTTCCTTACACTGAATTGCTACTTCTGTTTAGCCTTTCACTGTGCATCAGTACCTCCTACTGTGAGTGGTCTACACTATAATGCGTTCAGGCCCCCAAATCTGACCTTCCTTGGTCTCCAGAAAAGCTAGGTCTGACCTTTCTTCAGATAAGGTGGAGGCCTGTGTCTTTCTCCAATGTTTAGAGATGTTGTAACAGGAGGTCATGACCAGCACATGGATTCAGACCACAGTGTTGTCTTGCACTAGGCCTGCCTGGGATGAATCATCAGTCTTGCTTCCTTTCTCCGGAGCAGGACTTGGAGGTTCCAAACCTGATGTCATCTCCAGGCTGGAGCAGGGGACAGAGCCTTGTATTCCATACTTGCCTAGGACTTGGGAGAACTGGAGCTGGAAGCACAAGATGGAGGGGGAGTCTTCCCCAGTCTCTGCTGCTTCTGCTGGCGGGAACTACAACCTTACTAGGCTCTTCTCAGCTTCATACCAAATCTCTTGTTACCCCCATGGCTTTGCTTTCTTCCTCCTTCATTTTCTATTTTCCCTCTCCTTTTCTTGCTTATTATTGCCCCTGTTAATTATCCACAAATATCTTCATGTTTTCTTACACTAGGAAATGTTCTTTTCAACCGCAGAAAAGAGCTCAGGTACTTGTCCCTAGTAGCTGTCTTCAGTCCCCTCACCTCATGTCACCCCACCTCAGCCTTGCTGACTGCTCTGCCTTGGTTGCTTAGGTACCACTTGGACAGATGCTTTCTGGCTGTCTCCCACTTCGACTGTTACTTAGAGCATCCCAGGCTGATTCTGGGCCCTGGAGAAACAGGACTTAGAGAGTTCCCTCCTGTGCAAGGAGGGTCCCAGGCTGTGTACAGTGATAGCAGAGTCCCAGTGCACTGTGTATTCCTGGCCTTCTGCTGATACAATGGACTTAAACAGTGTATCCACGTCCTTGTAGGGCTGGTGCTCAGGAAACTGAAATACAAAGAGATGAAATTGCTGGCCTGAGGTCACAAGCCAGGCAGAGAGACAGGGCAGGGCTGGATCCCTGGCAGATCAGCTCCAGACCTCATGCTGTAATTAATTTTTTTCATTTAAAGAAACAGGTTCAGGTCAGGCATCTGTGGCTAACACCTGTAATCCTAGCTACTCAGGAGGCAGAGATCAGGAGGCTCAAGGTTCGAGGCCAGCCCTGGGCAAATAGTTTGTGAGACCATAATCTCAAAAATACTGAACACAAAAAAGGACTGGTGGAGTGGCTCAAGTGATAGAGGGCCTGCCTAGCAAGTGCAAGGCCCTGAATTCAAACCCCAGTGCTGTCAAAAAAAAAAGAACAACTTCAGGTTCATGGTTAGTGGTGTGGCTGAGGGCTGGTGGTGTGGCTCAGGTGGTAGAGAACCAGCTTGGCAAGTGCAAGGGCCTGAATTTAAACCCCAGCACCGCCAAACAAACAAACAGCTTCATAGCTGCCTGTAATCCCAGCACTCAGGAGGAGCTCAAGTTTGAGACCAACCTGGAAACAAAATGAGACCCTATCTCAAAAAAAAAAAAAAAAATCCAGAACTTTATTGAGATATAATTGGCATACAGTATGCTGTAGTTGTTTAAAATGTATCATTTTACATATGTTGTCATACATATATACTTGTGAAACTGTCAATTCAATCAAGATGGAAAACATACCATCTCTTTGTAACCTTTCTCTTATTCCCTCTTACATCTGTCCTGATGTAAGTTATTGATCTGCTTTCTGTGACCATAGATTCCAATTTGAGGATTTTATGTAAGTGGAATCATAAAGCATGTACTCTTTTTTTTGTCTGGCTTTTTTTTTGGGGTAGTACTGGGGTTTGAACTCAGGGCCTCACGCTTGCTAGGCATGTATTCTGCTGCTTGAGTCACTCAGCCAGCCCTGTCTGGCTTCTTTTACTATAGTTTATCTATCCATTTTCTGAAATTTAGGTTATTTCTAGTTTTTGGTTAATACAAATAAAGCTGTGAACATCTGTGTGCAAATCTTTGTATTACCATACATTTCCTTTTCTCTCAAGTAAATACCTTGGAGGAATTTTCATGGCAGGTGTATATTAAAATTTTTTAAAAGTTGCCAATCTGTTATCCATAGTAGTTGTTGTATTTTGTCTTCCTACCCGCGGTGTGTGAGTTGCAACTCCTTCACATCTTCATCAGTACATGATGTGGTCAGTCCTTGTAACTTTAGCCATCTGATAGGTGTGTAGTGGTAGCTTGTTATGGTTTTAATGTTCATTTCCCTAATAACTAACAATGTTAAGCATTTCTTTTCTTGCATTTGTTGTTCATTTGTGTTTTCTCATTGGTGGAGTATGTTCAAATCTGTGACCAATTCTTAAATAGTTTTTTTTTTTTTTTTTTTGAGTTTAAAAAAATTATCTTCTGAATACAGGATATAGCCTAGATACAAGTCCTTTATCAGATATGTGTTGTTCCATCTTGGTTCTTGTCTTTTCATTTTTTTAACAGTGACTTTTGAAGAGCAGAAGTTTTAATTAATTTTTTTCCCATATTGGGGATTGAACCCAGGGCCTCACACATTCTCAGCAAGCATTTGACCACTGAGCTACATCCCCAGCCCTCTTTAAAAATTGTTATTTTGAGACAGGGTTTTGCTATGTGTTCCAGGCTGGCCTGGAACTCTTGATCCTCCTGCCACAGCCACCTGAGTAGCTGGGATTACAAGCATGTGCCAACATGTCTAAATTTTGATAAAAGTACAGTTTATCAACTTGTTCTTTTATGGATTGTGACTTTGTATCATATCTAAGAAATCTTTGCCTAATTTAGATTTTCTTTTTCTGCAAGTTTTATAATTCTAGGTGTTACATTTAGGTCTGTAATCCATACTGAATTAATTTTTGAATGTGGTGTGAGATATGGATCCAAGTTCAATTTTTTTTGTTTGGGTGGGGTTGAGATTTGAACTCATGGCATTGCCCTTGCAAAGCAGGTGCTCTACTGCTTGAGCCACACCTCTACTTCATTTTGCTCTGGTTATTTTGAAGTTGGGGTCTCACAAACTATTTGCCTGGGCTGGCAATCCTCTGGATTGCAGCCTTCTAAGTAGCTAGGATTACAGGCATGAGCTTTAATGAATATTTGAATTCCTGTTATATGTAAGCCGTAAGGTGCCTTATTTGCAACTGGGTAGCAATGCCATGGATTCCACCTCTACTCTTCCTGTCCTGATTGCTTCCCTCACAACTGAGAGCCCTTTACTCTCAGTCATGCCTTGTGGTTCTTGAAGTACCTTTCCTGGTAGTCTGTTTGCATGTGTAAGCTTTGACCTGGGGCTTCTTTCCTTCCATCAGCTTTCATTGCCTTCATAGCATGTTTTTCCTCTTCCAACTTGGTGCACTTTTTTGTTTTGTTTTTATGCATTCTGAGAACCCTGTACCCTTTTAGGAGATCATATAAATCTTCCTACCTGTGCTCTAATTCTTTCTCATAGTAAAATCTGGATGATTCATTTTTTTTTTTTCTTTTCTTTCAGGTTATGATTCTAGGATTGAAAAACAGGAATTGACTCCAAAGCAAGAAATTCCTGAAGGAATAGAATCCCAGAGCGCAAAATCAGAAGATCATGTAAGGATTGTTTCTAAGGAAACTGAAGAGATGAGCAGAAGTGGGGGACAGTTAGAGAATTGCCAAAGGGGATTTGCAGCAGGAGGACTCAGGACACACTGCTCCCAGAAGATCAACCTTAGATCAGGCCCCATGGCCCATTTAGACAGCCCCACAGGGAAGAGCAGACACACACTAGTACCACTGGTACTCAGTGTTCCCCAGACTCAGACCCTGCTGCACATCACAGAGTTTCTAGAGATGGGGGTCTCTGTCAGAGTGTGTTGTGGATTAAGAACTCTCAGCATAGGGAAGACCTCATTTACCCCTTATGTCCCTATGTGGGAAAAAGAGTCTGTCACCAGAGGATTCACACTGGAGAGAAACCTTACAAATGCAACAAATGTGGCAAAGCTTTCAGGGCTTGTTCATACTTTATTCAGCATTGTAAAATTCACACTGGAGAAAAACCCTATGAGTGTAATGAATGTGGGAAAGCTTTTAGCACACGTCCATCTTACATCCAACATCTAAAAATTCATACTGGAGAGAAACCTCATGAGTGTAATCAGTTTGGGAAAGACTTTAGTCATTGCTCTAATCTGATTCACCACCAGAGAATTCACAGTGGAGAGAAACCTCACCAGTGTAAGGAATGTGGGAAGGCCTTCAGCAGACAGTCACACCTTGTTCAGCACCAGAGAGTTCATTCTGGAGAGAAGCCTTATGATTGCAGTGAGTGTGGCAAAGCCTTCAGTACACGCTTACCTCTCATTCGGCATCAGAGGATTCATATGGGAGAGAAGCCCTATGAATGTAATGAATGTGGAAAATCCTTTAGCCTGAACAGAACACTTACTGTTCATCAGAGCATTCACACTGGAGAGAAACCCTGTAAGTGCAATGAGTGTGGGAAATCCTTCAGTCAGCACTCACAAGTTACTCAACATAAAAGAATTCACACTGGAGAGAAGCCTTACATCTGCAGTGAATGTGGAAAACCACTCAGTGCCCGACTGTCCCTTACCCAGCATCAGAGGATTCACACTGGGGAGAAACCTTAGCTGCAGCAAGTGTGGGAAGGCCTTTAGTCAAAAGGGACATCTTTTTCAACATCAGTGCATTCACACTGGAGAGAAGCCCTATGAATGTGAACAGTGTGGAAAAGCTTTCAGTCAGAGTTTTAACCTCATTCACCATCAGAGAACACACAATGGTAAGAAGCCCTACAAGTGTAATGAATGTGACAAAGCCTTCAGTATGCTTTCTTCTCTTGTTCAACATCAAAGAGTGCATAATGGAGTGAAGCCCTATGAGTGTCACAAGCGCGGGAAGGCCTTTTAGCCAGGGCTCACACCTTATTCAGCATCAGAGGAGTCACACTGGAGAGAAGCCCTATGAGTGTACTGAGTGCAGGAAAAGCTTTGGCAGATATCCACCCTGATCAAGCACAAGAGAACACAATGGGGAGAAGCCCTATGAATATGGTGACTGTGGGAAGGCCTTCAGCCAGAGTGTACACCTTATCTGCCACCAGAGAATTCACACTGGAGAGAATCCTTATGAGTGCAGTGACTGTGGGAAGGCCTTCAATGTTCACTCTTCTCTCATTCAGCATGACAGAATCCATACCGGTGAGAAGACTTATGACTGCACTGAGTATGGTAAAGCCTTCAGTCAGCATTCATAGTTCATTCAGCATCAGAGAGTTCACACTGGAGAGAAACCTTACATGTGCAATGAGTGTGAGAAATCCTTCAGTGCTCGCTTATCCTTCATGCAACATAAGAGAATACACACTGGAGAGAAGCCCTACAAATGCACTGCATGTGGAAAATCCTTCCGACAAAGCTCTTACCTTATTCGACACCAGAGAATTCACAGTGTAAAGTGGCCTTCCGTATGTAGTCAATATAGAAAAACTTTCAGAGAATAACTTTTATTAGTTATGGGAAAGTTCATGAAGTTCACAGGGAGCAAGCCTATAGATGCAGTGAGTGTGGGGAACCTGTTAGTGCACAGTCAGCGCTCATCAACATGGGTTAGTTCACAGCTCAGGGTGACTGCTTTGTTTATGAGCTTCTTACTGTTTTAATGTTATGAAAGTTGTACTGGTGAGAAAGCAGTCACTTTTATTTTAGAGATTCAGTTCTTAAGGGATTTAACTCTCAGTGAGCTGCTAACTGAAAGCAGGTTGCCAAAGTATGTGGCAGAAATTCCAGGGCAACACACCTTCCCTCACATTCAGAGGATGGCTGTCTGCTTGGGAGTTTGAAACAAGTGCGATTTAAATATCATTAATTTAGATGTGTCTCATAGCCTCAGACCTTACAGTGCAGTTAGATATTTCATTTGACCCATTGTTTTTTCTTTTATCATTTATTTCAGCTTCGAGAAATGATTGTGATCCTTACATGTTCAAATATGAAACCAGGTTTAGTTTTCTTAAGTATTTGTGCCTCTTCAAAATGTTTTTGTTCTATTGTGAGAGATATGGTGCCTTCAACTTCAAAAGTATTACTCTTTTTCAACATCAGATAATCTATACCAGAAACATGATTCTAAGCAAAAGTTCAAGGAATGAGGTGAAACTTGTATGTAGATTCAAACTGTTGAGAACCTGCTAAGAAGTCAAACACATATAAAATGGGATTTTTAAAAGATAATTTGAAAGAAAAAAAACTGTGGATTTTTAAAATGATAATTGGTGAAAAACAGTGTTGTAGAAAACAACTGATATGGATTGGCGAAGGTATGGCATCTTTTTAAAGTTGGAGACTGCCTATCCTCCGGATAGCATGGCGGACATTTTCTGACCTGCCCTGGTTCTACTAAAAACTCCATTGTGGTATCAGGTATCTAAGAGAAGGCCAGAACGTTCAGCCATTAGTCAGGGGCTGCAGCCAGACCTTGCAGCTTCCTGAAAGACCTTTACAGAGAAAGTTATAAAATTACTGAAAAATAATTGATGACCTAAGTAAATGAAGAGATATACTAGGTTCATGTTAGATTCATAATTATTTAATATGGACATTTAATTATCCCCAAAATGCTCTATAGAATTAAGAATTAATCCAATTTGTATTAGTGGGGTTTTTTTTGTCACTATGACAAAATACCTGAGAAAACAACTAGGAGGAGGAAGTATTTATTTCAGCTCACAGTTTTGCAGGTTTTCGTTCATAGTTGGCTGGCTCCATTGCTGTGGGCCTGGGCAGAAACATGATGGAATGGCACGGCAGAGCAAAGTTGCTCACCTCATGGTAGCCAGGAAGGAGGGAGGGAGAAAGGGAGAGAGAGGCCAGAGTAAGATACAATCCCCAAGTACATGCCCCCAGTGACCTACTTCCTGCAGCTAGGCTCTAGCTCCTAAAGTTTCCAGTACCTTCAACACATGAGCCTGTGGGGGACAGTTCACATTCAAACCATAACACGATTATAACAAAAATCTTAAGAAAATTCTTACACATAGGAGGCATATAAGAACATTGCTACTATATTATTAGTAATAACAGAATCTTGAATCTCAAAATATATTAAACTAGATGTGATGGTACATACCTGTAATCTCATCATGAGGGAGACAGGAGGATTGTGAATTCAAGGCCAGCCTGAACTGTATATAGAGACCCTATGTCATAAAAAGCACAGGCTGGGGATGTAGCTCAGTGGTAGAGTACTCACCTAGCATGTACAAGGCCCTGGGTTTGATTACCAGCACTGAAAATATGTCATGTATACAGTTGATCCTATTTGTAGATTCCATATTTTAAAATTTGCCTACTCATTAAAATTTGTATGTGTGTCTTGGCTTTCACAGTCATTAGTGGATGTGTGTAGAGCAGTGAAAATTTTGTGCTTGATCTGCATGTTGTCAGCTGAGATTGAATAAAATGACACTGTTTTCTGGTTTCAGCTCTCATATTGAAACATGTACATTTAGTGACACATTATTTACACTTTTATGAGTTTTCTTGGTGATTTAGTTGTTTAAAGCAGCCCTTAAGTATAGTGTTAAAGTGCTGCTTAGTTTTGCTAAGTGCAAGACTGATATGCCTTAGGAGAAAATCAGTCTGAAAGATACTGGAATGTTGTTCCCAAGTTCATGTCCTGGTGTAGTCAGTGATTGAAGATGCTGGACCAGGAGTTAAGCAAGCATAAAGCTTATTGAAAGGATAGCAAAACACCCTGATGGGTGGGACTTAGTGAAGTTGCTCAGCCAAAGAAAGGCTGAAGTCTAGGAGATAGTATAGGGCTCTGCCTGACTTGGGCATCCACTACTCTACTTTGAAGCTGCATCTATAATTGGCTGTCTAATTAACTTCTTGCTGAACCCAACCATCCGGCTGCACACCCTCATCCTTACTGGACTGGACATTCCACCATGGTCTTGTTAGTCCATCCTGTCATTGAAGTCTGTCATATACATTTTATGAATACAGCTTATTACTTTGGTGAGACCTCCCTCCTTTTGCTGTCTTGGGAAAGTTCGCTGTGTTACTTCCCTTAAGGGGTCTGTTTTTTCATCTCTTTAGGTGTTTGTCTTTAAAAATGCTTCTTTGCCTCCCTTATCTAGGAGAAAGATCACTGTACTTTATTATTTGGATGAGAAGCTCCTCACATCTCCTTAGATGTTTGCTTTCAAGGATGCCTTCCCTGGTACAGCGCTTGCCTAGTATGGGCGAGGAGGCCCTGGGTTCGATCCCAGCACCAAAAAAGGAAAGAAAAAAAAAAAGACCTCTCCACAAGGATGCCTTCCTTTCTCCTTTATCTGAAACAAAGTTACTTTTGTCACCAGTTTCCTTTACATTCCCAGAGTCTTTTCTGCCATCTGCCCCTTCTTATGTTTGCTCCCCTCACATTAAGATAAGCTTCACTCATGTAGGAGTTACAGTTCTAGTGACCATGAGTTCAATGTTAGCAAATCAATATATATTAAGCCATCCATAAACAGAAACATACATAAAACCAGGGTATGTATTGACTGGTTGATGAAAATGTTATTAGCACAGGTTTCCAGGCATTTTACTTTTTATTTCTCCTAATAGAAATGTTTCAATGTTTGCTAATTCAGTGTTTGCAGTGACTTTGTAGAACATAACTCTACAAACAACAAGAATCAACTGTACATGAAAACTTTTTGAGATGTCTCAATATGTAGCTCACAGTGGCCTCAAACTTGAGATCCTGTTGCCTAAGCCTCCTGAGTGCTGGGATTACAGGCACACACCAGCATGCTTGGCTCTGTCTTTAGGAAAATTTAATGTTTCTTAAAGAGACCAGGAAAGCAGACCCAGGAAAGATTGTTTTAGTGGAGACTAAAGCATTTTAAGAGATGGGAAGCAGCCACAGTGGTAATGAGAACGTCAGAAAGGATGGTTGGGAAGTATGGGAAGAGGTGAGTGAGAGAGGGACCAGTGGAGGGAGAGTGAGAGGTATGCAAATAGTTGCCTATGCAGGATTTATAGGGCATGAGCTGGAAGATTTTTAGGCAGGAGAGTGGTATGGTCAGTTTTCGTTTTAGAAAGATCAGTATCAGATCAGAAGGAACAGGAGGGAATGAAACTGGATGTAGAGATAAGGAGGAATCAGCTGTAGCAGTTCAGGCCAAGACTTGGGGGAGGTGGTGGTGGTGATTATTTAGGAGGTAAATGGACATGACAACTGACTGGATTTAGGGGTTGGGGAAGAGAAGGGAATCTGTTCAGGCCGAGTTCTGGAATCCGTGCTTCTGAGCCAAATCAGAGGGTAAAGTCAGTTAAAGAGGGGAAAGCCCCTTGGATCTGGAATCTACTCACTACCCAAACCTCCAGTTTCCCAGGACTAAAATACATACCAAACTATGATGACTTTAAAATGTGTAAAATATTTAGATATTTCTCTGTAAAAATTGAAGCAATCTCATTCGTGATCTTGAGCTAGATCCAGCAGCTACACTGCTGCTATATTCTTAACCCTCACATAACTAACTGTAATCTGTTACAACACAATAAAAAACTAATACACCAGCTATCTTTGCTGATTACCCTCCTGAAGCTGCCCGCGTGAAAGCCTTTTACCTTTACCTATTTTACTCTCCCCACCAGGTGAACTTTGCGAGAGCATTCCTCTGTTTAAAGTTTTGTTGTGCTCTCCAACATGGGGCCTGGGACACAGGCAGGGCTCCACCAACGCCGGCCCTGACCCTCAGCAACCTCTTCTTTTAGCCACGCAGGCTGCACTGCCCTGACTCCCCTCCTTTCCCCTGCAGATGCGCACGGGCCTGTCCCCAGCGCTCCGCCCCGCCCACCGAGCGCCGGACCCCCAGCGCGTACTGCGGAACCCTGCGTCGTAGATGCATTTCTGGAGGAGGGAGTTCATCGACGGACTCGAGTCCTACCCTACGTAGGTACCCGCGGCCGCAGCGGCGAATGGCGGTGAGCGGGTTGGATAAGACGTGCTGGTGGCGAGTACTGGGACGGTCGGCGGCCCTCCCTCCCTGTGACCCTCGTACTATTACTCTTTCTCCAGGCTCTAGGACATTCTGCTAGGGAGGCACCAGCATCTGCACGCCTGGGTACTGCCCGTGCGTCTCGCAGACCTCGGCCTCCCGGCCCGGGTCCAAATGCCCCGAATCCTTCCGCCTTTCTCTGCTCAGGACAATCTACGTGTAGTGACGTCGCCGCTAGAACACATCCTATAAGCGGTGAAAGCAGCTCAATCTCCAGGAAGCAAAAGAAGAAAACCCCGAACAGGCCCTCTGTGGCGAATGGAGAGAAGGCCTCAGAGAAGCCTGCTTCAGAGGAAGTCCCCCTCGGCGCCGAGGCCCAGGCAAGGGTGGGATCCCGCGTGGTTTCTGGGTGCGAGTCCCCGTGCGGGTGTTGCCTAGGATGTGCGGAATTAAGGCGCTGAGAGGGATGGGTCAGGGGCTACAGGGTCCCTGTGCCTCTCACAAACACTCCCTCTCCCCCATTCATCATAGGCGGAGCTGCTAGCTCGGGAACTAGCCTGGTGCGTGGAGCAGCTGGAGCTGGGCCTCAAGATGCAGAGACCCACCCTCAAACAAAGTGAGGGCCCCTCTGTATACCTGGGGGGGGTGTGAACGGTGACAATGCTGTGGCCTGTCAGTGCTGCCAAAGGATGGAATTGTTGTCTTTGAGGTAGGGGGATAGGTGAGTGTGCATAAGGTCATCATTAGTCCTTTATTTCTATCTGCAGAGGAACAAGCTATTGGGGCAATCCGAACCCTGCGCAGTGAAAGAACCCCTCTGCCCCGGAAGAGGCAGCTGATGCGCTCCTTGTTTGGAGACTACAGGGCTCAGATGGAGGCTGAGTGGCAGGAGGCCCTGCGGGCTCTCAGGGCTGGTGAGGAGCTGGAAGTGGCTGATTTAGTATATCTATTTGTAGAGGATAGGGGAAAGTGCCTGGGAAGTGGAAGGAAGAAGCCCAGAGCAGCAAGGCTGGTGGTGGGAGATGATGGGCTCAGGGAAGCCTGAACAGGGAGAAAGTCTGTACCTTTCAGGGGCATAAGTCCTGGGGAAAGGAGGAGACTAGTCCTTTCCTGGTTCTGCCCTTGGGGTGGGGAAAGCCATTTCATCTGTCTTTGTTTTGGCTTTCTTATGTGGCATTGAAGCCAGATCCCATAGCAGTTTGAGTGTAATTACTGGGGCCAAATAACCTTTGTTGAAATCCTGGATCTACCACTTATCTTAACACTTTTGGCAAGTTACTTCATCTCTTGTGACTCTTAAAGGGAGTGATGATAATATCTACCTAAAAGTTTTGAGAAGTTAATTAGTAAAATTGTACAATGGGGTTAGGTTTGTGTGGGCAATCATAACTGCATCTGTAATATTAGCTGTTATTACTCAGTTCTGACTCTGCTCCCCTCCCCCAAAAGCTGCCCATTCAGCCCAGGTACAGCCGGTAGGTGAAGCTACCAGAAAGAAGAGCCGAAGAGTCTGCAGGCCTCGTCCATCAAGGAGAGCCAAGGCTACTGTGGACACTCCTGATGAAGAGTTTAGGTTTAATTTCTTTTAGACTCTCCCCTATTCTGGAACAGTCCTCTCCCAAGGTGGTGTTGGGGTTTGTCTTCAGTGTGAGGCCTTTCCAGGAATTCTTTGTCAGCAAATGTGGGGTTGGTTTGTCCCTGGCTGGTCATAGATCTGGGCAGGTTTGAGACTGTCAGATGAGCACAAGACCCCATTTGTAGGTTTTTTGATAAAAATGTTCCTGCTGTCAGAAGAGAGGGATGCATTTAGAAAATCTTCTATGATAAGGTGAAGTGAGTAGTGTGTCAGCCTCCAGGATTTGTGGGAAAGCTATGTGATTGTATGCTGGGTTCACTTTTGAAAGAATGCCCTGTGAAATGATTCAGTGCTTTATTGTCACATGACCCTAATAAATCTCTCCCTCTTTTTTTTTTTTTTTTATAAAAATGGATAATGAGTGAAAGCGTGCTGTCTGTGTTAGAAGAAGTAAGATGAATCAGGCGCTTGACACTGTTGGATCCAGCTCTCACCCCATTTCTAAATAGGTGTCGTCCTCAGGCAACCATGTGGCCTCCATTAGGCCAGTCTTCTTCATGGGATCCAAGGAGCTGCTTGAGCTTATGGTCCTGGCCAGAGACCTGGATTGAGAGTTAGCAGACTAATTCTCTAAATGTTGGTATCAGTCCCAGGCTCTCTGCTCCTTTGAAGTGTGATCTTCAGATGACCTAGGAGACTTAGGTGATCTTTGCTAGTGTTGCCCAAACTTGTATCCCAGACTAGATAGAACCTGGAACCCAGCCATGTAATCAACATCTCTGTATGGGTGTTCCAGGGGCAGTCCAAACATAACATGTTCAGAACACCTGATTAGGCTTCATATCTCCCTTCTGCTTTTCGTTCAACAACAGTACTGCCTCATCTAGTAGATTAGGCCACAAACCTATGTTGTTCTTAATTGCTGTCTTTAATCTGCTTTTTTTCTCTGTGTGTGTGTGTGGTCTTTTTTTTTTTTTTTGAGACAGGGTCTGTGTAGCCCAGGTTGGCCTTGAACTTGAGGTCCTCCTGCCTCAGCCACCAAGTGCTGGCATTACAACTGTGTGCCACCAGTGCCACCATGCCTGGCTTAATCGTTCTTTATCATTCTAGTTCTGACCCCGTGTCTTATCCTGACTTCTGTGTTAAACTCCTGATGTTAAGTGTCTTCCTGCTTCTGTCTTGCCTCCTGTCTTCACTGCAGCCAGAGTGACTCTTCACGTATTTTAGATTGTATTTCTCCTGGTCAGTGACTTCATTGTTCCTTTTGCCTGGATTGCTCTTCTTCCAGCATGGCTGGCTTCTGGGAAAGTAAACATCTGAGAAACGTGGGAAAGTTACTGTTACTCATCAGCCCAAGGTAGCATATTCAGATAAAGAAAGGAATGTTAATAGGAAACAGTTTTCTTACCATGCTCACCATGCAGATATAGTCCTAATGACCTGAGTGTCTGCTTTCACACTGAGAATCCTTGTTTATTAAACTCATAGGAGTCATTTATAAAGACAGTTCTGATCTCAAGAGGATGCCATAGTTTATAACCCAGATGTAGCTTCAATAAGGGGTCTTGGGACTCCTTATTTTACACCTATCCTAACTGTCACTTCCAGGGAAATGGGAGCCTGTCCTCACAGTTCAGACCTGATGTTGACTCTGATACACAGTCCTGTCTTGCTGTGTGTTCATCAAAACACTTCATTTAGATTTTGCCCAATGGCCCTTCTGTTAAACCTAGAGTAGCCCTGTGTTTTGTGAAAAGCCCTTTAGGTCTCCTCTGCAGTCTTCCCTATCACAACAGGCCAATAAACTATTGGATGACAGGTGACAGGTTTGTCCCTTACAGCACTGAGGAGGTACTATTACAGTCCTTAGTCTTTGGGTTGAATTCCTGCCTGCTTCCCCATTCTGTTTCCCACGGGCTGTTTGACCCTTTGCCCTCAGCTCTGTTGGTAGGAGTTTGGAGGTTCTCAGAAAAGGGGACACCAGGACAGATATTCCCCTCTGTGGTTAGGGTTAAAGTTAGGGTTTGGGTGAGAGTTTGGTTTAGAATTCAGGTTTGGGTCAGGGTCTAGGGTATGGTTTAGGTTTGGGCCAATGGGATGGAGGAGCAAGGAGTTGAGAAGGCTGGAAGGATGGTCAGAGCCATGGTAGAATCGGGGCTTTGACCTGGGATGAGTTGGGAGCCTTCTGAGAATTTGATGTGTATAATTTCAGTTTCAGAGGTTCTTTCTGGCTGCTGACTTGAGACCAATTTAAATGCATTTGCTTCATGCCTGGGAGCTGCCCAGCCTCAACTGACTGGATGAAACTTAGTGACATAGCAGACTGCAGAGAAGCATGGGGGTGCTGAGGTCTCAGTTCCTCTGGAACTGTCTGGTCTTTCCTAAGAAGCACAGAATGGCTAGTTTCAGATTAACTCAGTTGAGAGGAGGCTGTCTATTTAATCTAATGCCTGGGTATGGTGTTAGACATAGAATGCTTTTGGGTAAAAATAGTGCTCTAACATAATAAAATTTTATTCAAAAAAAATTTGGGGGTTACTGGGGCTTAAACTCAGGGCCTACACCTTGAGCCACTCCAACAGCCCTTTTTTTTTTTTTTTTTTTGTGATGGTTTTTTTTTTGAGATAGGGTCTCGTGAACTAACTGCCTGGGGATGGCTTTGGATCACGATCCTCCTGATCTCTGCCTCCTGAGTAGCTAGGATTATAGGTGTGAGCCACCGGCACCTGACTTATTCAAAAATTTAATACATAATTATCATGTGGTGTATAATATGTATTATCATATAACATATAACTTGAATACTGCCCCAAGCAGCAGGGAGGCAGTATAGCAGGAGCAACATGAGGCTCCTGGAGGGAGTTCTGTGTAGATGTGGCTGCTCTCCAGCCTGAGTGAAGGCTGGGTGAGTGTTGTGGTTTGGATCTTAAGTGTCCCCCAAAGCCATGTGTTGAAGGCTCATCTCCAGCCTGTAGCACTATTGGGAGGTGGTAGAACCTTTAGGAGGTTTAGCCTAATGGAAAGAAGCTTGGTCACTGGGGCATGCCCTTAGTAGGATATTGGGACTCTGGCCCCTCTTCTCTCTCCCTTTGTTTCCTGGTAATCTTGAGGTGAACAGACTTCCTCTACTATGTGCTTCTGTCACCATGTTCTGGCCAAAATGATGAGACCAAGCAATCATAGACTGAAATCTCTGAAACCATGAGCCAAAATAAACCTTTCCTTTTTAAGTTGATTTATCTCAGGTATTTTGTCACAGCAACAGAAAGCTAACACTGTGGAGAATCCCTTGGTGGAATTCTGAACAAAGTGTAATTTCTCAGCTTGCATAAAAGTTGCCTTCCTATAAAATTCAGGCTGAATTAAGATTGTAAAAATACAAAACAAATCTAAGTCAGTGCCTCTGCCATATCTGCACTCTGCTGAAAGGAGCAGGTGGAGGAAGGAAGAGCACCTGGAGGGGAAGATGGCAGAGGTGTTCATGCAGAATAGGTGTAGGTGCCTGGCAGACTCCTTGCAGAGTCCCTGCAGGTGAGGGGTAAGAGGAATGAGATGCAGAGAAAGCTTGGGAACCATGAAGGGGATAAGCAGATCCTGGTTGTGAGTCTCCTGCTAAAGTCATCTTCCTTCTTGGCACTTGATCTTTTGGGCTCAGGAGAGAAGGCACACTGTGAAGTCTCCTGAGTCTCTAGCAAGCAGGACTTGGCTTTAGGGCAGGAAGGGAGAGATGAAGAGATTGGATCCTCTCCTTTTGATTGCTCTGGGGAATGTAAAGTGGATGGGTGCTATGGGAGACAAAGCCCTACTCTCTACACATCATCCAACTAGCCTGGGTGAGGTCAGTTGCTGAAGTCCTTAGCCATTGTTCCTGGCTATCGTTTCTAGCTTACAGGAGCTTGTTACATGGATGCCTGTGAATCCTGAATACTTTTGTGCTTGGAGGCTACTGAGAACTGAAAGAACTACAGTTACAGATGGAACTGTATTTCTCACTGTAGTCCATCAAGGTGAACAGGTTGGACACCTTGGCTGGTCTCTGGGTTTGGGGACTGGAGATCCCCTTGCTTGATTCTTATTCCTGCAGATTTTGTGAGGCAAAAACCTTGGCATGTTCTGTAGATGGCCTAGGATCTCATGGGGATCGATCGGGCTTTTCTATCTTCTCAGAAGCTGGCTTCTCAATACAAGGAGGTGGCCTGGGCTCTGGCCACTGTCTTCTCATCTGCTGTGTGTTTTTCTGAGTACTAGCCTATTACCTACTCATTGTAAAGATGTTATGGAATCCTCAAATGTGTAAGTAGGCATAAGCATCTCCCTGAGTCTCAGCATTGGTTCTCACAAGAGGAGACAATTTTGAGAGTCTCCTTCCAGGTTTCTGCATGTTCTGGTGTAGATGTAACTTTGTGCTTTACAAAGACGCAATCATGTCATAAAAACAACTTGTATTTTAATATCAAAGTGTATTCAGGTTGCACATAGAAAGCAGCCTCATTTTCATTGTAGTTTTTTTTTTTTTAAGACAGGTTCTTATTATGCAGCCTAGACTGGCCTTGAATTTGCCATCTTCTTGCCTCTGCCTCCTGAGGTCTGGAATTAATAGGCTTTAACCAATATGCCTTGTCTGACTTACCTTGTTTTTAACAGCCACTAGGTATTCATTACATGAATGTCTGTAGTTAGTTCCCCTAGCTACAGGGTGAACACCTCTTTGTTTCCAGTCCTTTCCTGTTATAGGCATTGCTACCACAGTTTCCCTTTCAGATTTGTCTCTGTGCATTTGCATGATCTCTTTTAGGAAGGCCAGTTCCTCGTAGTGGAAGTTCTGGGACAGACGGGCGAGTGCTCAGAATTCTGTTAGTCTGCCAGGAGGGCTGCTCTGGATTATGCTTCTGACAGCACTGCCTAATCTGCTTCTTGCTTCTCCTGCCTGCACTGGATCTGATGAACTTATGTCTTTGCTGAGTGATGGGGTGGAAAACATCTCCTTTAATGTGCATTTCTTAGGTTTTCATAAGTGGTAGAGATGCATGGTTCTCCTCTGTCCCTTGCCTTGTCCTGATTCTGCAGTGTCAAAGGTCTGGCTTGGACCAACCCTGCATCACAGAGCCCTCAAGGTGACCTGTGGCCCATATGGCCTGAGCATTTCATCTGTGAGCCATAGTTATCAGGAAATTCAGCAATACAGGCCAGTAATGGGATTGACCCTGTCTCTTCCAGAGCAGGCTCCTGGGGAACATTCCATCTGGTTTCAGGTGTAGATTTGCCCTCAAAGGCACCGAAGGTCTCACAGGACAGGACTTGCTGTGCTCTGCCACTGTCAGCCACAGATTGTGCAGACATTGTGAGGGCTGGGACCACAGGTTTTGCCACTGAGACCCTGAGTCTCACTATGTTACACAGGGTCTCCTTCTTTCTCCTTGTGGGTTTTGGGGCTGGCATTAGTGGAATGAGAGCAGAGTTGTGCTTAGGCTGCAGCCTGTCTTCTTGGTTACATCTGTCTGCTTGAATGTGGCTCATGTCACAGCTCATGATACCAAGAGCTCAAATTATCAGTGAAATCCAGAGACCAAAGGCCCCCCTTACAATCTGTATGTCTGTTGATAGGGAATTGGCTGTAAGCAAATCTGTGAGACTATAAAAGGGCATTTACTTTTTATTGTAAAGTCCCAATTTTTTACAGTGCATTCTAATGGATAGAAGGATAGGAGATGGAAAGGGATGGTTCCTGCAAAGCTTCCTCTAGACCTGCCCTGTGGGGCATACTGACAACATGTAGGATCCTTCAAAGGCCCCACCTGCAAACATTTGCTGGCAGTGCGATGTGCTGGCTCTCACAAGGGGTCAGTCAGGGATACATCTCGCCTGTGCCCACAGCCCTAACTGCTGGGGAAAGACTGGCCCTGACCTACCTTTCAGGGAGCTGTGGAACAGCTTTCAGGGTCGGGCTGCTCCAGCTTTTACTAGAACATCGTGCTGCTTCTCAGGCTTATGTTTCCCTGCTGCCTTTCAATGTGTGGACATTTGCCCACCTTCAATTCTGTGCATAGGGGTAGGGTGCAGTGTGGACAGCATACAGGCCCATGTACCATGGGTGTGAGCACTAATGAAAGTGACCCTTTCATAGAGGCACATGTTCTGGGCAGGGGTGGGCAGTGGCTTCTTTCTAGACATGCCCAAGTGAGAGGCCTTGTTGCCCACCCCCAGCCTCATCCCCACAGCTGCAGAAGTTGGATGAGCTCAGCCCCCTGCTGTGTCCGATAGTTTCTTCCTGGCTCCCTTCAGTACTGACCCAGCCTCTGGGGGACTTCCTCCCAGATTGATGCCCACTGCCCTCAGCACAGGACAGTCAAGTGTAACCTTTTCCAACTCTTGTAAATTTGATGAAAGCTACATACCCTTTCTGTGTGAACATGCACATCAGTAGACTCCTGTAGTTCTGGGGGTGAGGGTCAAGACCCCTGACACTAATGTCTGGATCTTGGATGTCATCTGTCCCATGAACCTGAAAGAAGCCTGGGCTGAGTACCTAGTGTCCTGAGCTGCTGCTGTCTTTGCTTTGCTTGCCATCTGTAGAGGGATTTACCAAGAGTAGCTGCTCCACAAGTGACTCAGTCACACCCTTAATTCTGTGGGGATAGACACTGCATCCCATGTGTGGGGCCATGTCCAGACATTTCCTGCCATCCTGGTTTTTAAGAACCTTGGGTGCAGGAAGTGCCTGTCATTGGTTCTCAGACTATAGTGCCCAAACTGCAAGGGTCTCTCAGCCTTCTATAGACAAGCTGGGCCCCATCTCTCCCCCAGCCTTGTTTTGCTACTTTCCTTCAGATGCTAATACTTGTGTGTGTAGTTCCTGGGGGGAATATCCATGACTTTTATCTGAGTCTGGGAGGGGTTTTGAACTGGAGAGGAGTGAGGACCCAGGGCCCAGTCACTAAGTTCTCTCTTGGAAGTCCTGCTGCTCTTTTTGGACCATGGTGAGGACCTCCCCTTTATTCCCCATTTGTTCCAAAGCAAGCCAGGCTCCAAGCATGTCAGACATATTAATTCACCAAACTTTTTAACCACCTGGTGAAATTTGTCCTTTTAAAAAATGTACATTTGGGCCTGGATGTGTGGCTCAAGTGATAGAGCACCTGCCTATCAAGTGGGAAGCCTAGAATTCAAACTCCATTACTACCAAAGAAACAAAAACCAAAAACAACCTCCCTGCCCCCTCCCGGAATTTGAGCTGGAGCTCAAGTGGTAGAGCCCCAGCTTAGCAAGTGTAAAACTCAGTTCAAATCTCAGTACTACCTGCCCCCTCGCCCCCACCAAAAAAGTGCATTTTCCAGAGGGGAGGAGCAGAGACCCTGGCATGGGACTGGGAAAGCAGAGCTATCACACATACCATTTCTTGGTATGAGTTAAGGCAACCTGGACCCCTTCCCTAGGTATCTCTAACTCCAGGTGAAGACTCAGAGTCACTGGGGAGTCAGGGGTGCATGCCCATCAGGGAGAGGGCATAGATGCCCTGTTTATCATGGCAGGAAGGGGATGGTGACCCTCACTGGAAGTACCTGAGAATCTAGGGGCCCATGCAGGCCACTAGAACAAACTGCTCTAAGTTTGTTCCTTCTGGGTTACCTGTGTTAGTCAATGTGAAGATGTGAGCACTGGGTCTGGCACTGAGTAAACCATTGACATGTTTGTTTTGTGTTTTTATGCCATGATGTGGGCTCCTCTTCCTTTCTGCTTCTCCCTGGAGTGGAACCTAGCTCTTGGTGCCCCAGGTACATTTCTCTTGTTTTCTTGATGCTGCCCTATCCCTGTAGGCTTACCATGACCTGCTGTGCATGTACAAGGCAAAGCTGCTAGTGTTTGGGATCCCCTGGACAAGGTGGGCTTCAAGTCCCTGGAGACAGCTTTGTTCAGATACACACTAGGCCCTGGAACTCAGTTACCCTGACATGGCCGCCCTCTTGGTGCTGCTGCTCCAGGAGCTAGCTTAGCATCACTCTCCAGATGACATCCTTTTCACCCCAAGGGGGCCAGTTTGTATGCTTCATTGGGAGCAAATGAAGGTTTTTCCACATTCCTTTGTGTTCTCTTGCTTATCTCTGGGGAGAACTGCCTACAAGGTCTCTGCCCAGAGCCTCTTGATCTGTGCCCTTCTCTGGTTGTGTCCCATCTGTCCACCCCTCTCAGTCCTGCCTCTGACCTCAAAGGTTCCTTTTCTGAGGGTCCCTTGCTCACCTGGGGCCAGAGCAGCACTAACAGAGCTCTGGCCATTCACGTATTCTCCCTGTCCCAATGATGTGAACAGCTTTGCAGATGCTAGTACTGACTTTATTGACACCTGAGTCACAGCTGAAATTTCATGGTGGCCAGAACCTTCTACAGGAGACAGCCCAATGCCTGTACTGAGCACAAAGCCCACTCTTGAGGATTGAGTGTTGGCAGAGCCAGAGAGAGGGAGGGGCAGACAGCTGCTCTCAGGCCAGGCTTGGCTCTCTAGCTCCCTCGGTAGGTGGTGTAGGACCATGGGCTCAGAAGCAGAGGCACGTGGAACTTCTGGGTTTCCTTTGTGATGGTGAAAACTACCTGAGAGAAGCAGAGAAGGCATCAGAAGACAGTGAGGGACTACAGCACACGAACCAGGGAACTGCCTGGTTCCATTGCTCCCTGGCAGAATTCAGCAGCCAAGATGGGCTGAGTCAGCTAGGGCCTGATTGGTGGAGACTGGAACCTTCCTGGGGGCTGAGGATGGGGTGACTCCTCTCTGGGACATTGTCCGGTATGTCAGAGTCCCTGGGCCTGAGGATGCAGTGAGTCTTCCCAGGACAGATTTAGGAAGGCTGTAGCCCCTGACTTGCTGGATGTGTAAAAGGTCAGGTGCTTTGACTGTAGCTCCAGAGGGAGGCATAGGTAAAGTCCAGTGAGCTGGAGTCTGGGATCAGGCGAGAACCTGAATACAAAAGGGGGATGAGTCACCCTCTGCCTGACCTTCCCCAAAGTCTGATGAAGGGGAAACTCAGGCAATGGTTTCATCACAAAGTGTTAATGATGCCTCAGGTTCCTGGATACCTTTCTTCTGGGAGCTCAAAGCAGGTGAGCTCATTAGCCTGCCACTACCCTGCTTGGCCAGAGGTGGGACCAGTCTGCTTGTCGCTCAAATGAGGCCTAGCCAGCAGGACCTGGCCTGCAGGACAGTGAGTCAGGGCCGCCAACCTCCCCCCACCTATGGCCCTCACCTCCACATATGGGTAGAAGCTCTCCTGCCCCCTCTTCTTCCAGTAAGCCTCAGTGTCAAAGGACAGCTTGTAGGTGCCTGGCTTCATTTGGCCTGGTGTCAGAAGCCCAGGGCAGCGGCCATCTGGGTCTGTGTAGCTGTGGAGAAGATGGGCTGCAGAGAAAGGACAAGAAGCCACCCTACCCCCGCTCTCCTGGATTTGTACCCCTAGCAGCCTCACACAATTCCCACAGCCTGGTGCAGATGTGGGTGAGCAGACAGTTTCTAGGGACACCACTGCACCATTTATTTAGGGAATCAGTGTAGAGAAGCAAACAGAAAAAAACTTTGTGAGGTCTATCCTATGAGCAATAATTACATTTGACACAATTTTCTAGATTTTTTTCTATGCTTAAGTATGTTTACTTACAATTTTTACAAAATATAAAAATATTCATGCTGTTTTATAAGGTGTGCTTTCATATAGTATATTGTATGCAGCTTCTGAGTCACCCTCATGTGGCCTGTTTCCAACTACACGGAGGGTCCACTTGGAGTGAGTTGATCCCTCACCTGGGATTCTGAAGGCCTGTGGTTTTGACCAGTAGGACCTTAAAGTGTGTCCCACTGTGATGAGAAAGAGCAGGCAGGTGCATGGGGGGAGTATATATGACACTTCATGGGACTCCTGGCCAATGCAGCACCATGCTGACCTGAGTTGACCACTCACATGGGATCTGGCCCTTCACCCCACCAGCTTTTGTGAAGGGCTGAACATAGAGGGGATGAGCTACACCCTCAGACCTGAGCTTTTGGGTTCCAGACCTGACTTCCACCCTGTTCCCCCTCCCACTCCTGGCTTGGAAGGAGGGAATGGGGAACCTGCCTGCTTCAAGGTGGAAGGTCAGAGGAACCCACTCACAGGGCTTACTCAAGGGCCACAACCCAGCCAGCCTGGTCTGGCAACCCTGAGACTGGAAGGCTCCCAGAAGAGGCTGTACCTGGGGCAAGGCAGGGCCCAGCAGCTGGGCTCCAGTGCACATTGAGGCTGAGGAGCTCAGTGCCCTGTGGGCCTGGTTTGAAATCCCAGTAGTCATCATCATCACTGCTGCCTCAGCCTTCCCATCTGTAAAAGGGGTATTATGGTGCTGACCCATAGAGTAAATTGAGAATAAAGAGAGCAGAAATAAAAGTGCTCACTGTGATGCCTGGAACAAAGTTACCTTGTTAATCATGGTGACTTGAGGCCTTTCGATTCTACCTCTGGGTGTAACTCACTAGCCCTCCTGGGCTGTGAGTACTGCCATCAAGAAGACACACACACCTAGCTCCCACCCAGTAGCCCATGGGGCTGTGAGGCAAGGCCTGCTGGAGCAAGTCCTTAGCAAAGCTGTCCCAGACACTATACTAACCTCCCAGGATTGTACAAAGCAGCTACTGTCGCTATCCCTGTTATCTATGAGGAAACAGTAGGGAGGGCCAAACTGTGAGCCCAGGCAACGGGCTACCTAGGCTGAGGGGACGATGGGGCAGCAGTCAGTCTTGTCCTCCAGCCCTGCTCCTAGGCTATCTTGCCCCAGGGTGGACTCAGGAAGGGCCCTATGCTGGAGAGCAAGTGCTTGGGATATCCCGCCCCCCTCCTCCCCTAAGAGGACCTGCCTCTTACCTCTTCCTCAGCTCTGTCCACTGCTGGGCGAGGTCTTCCAGCCGGGACAAACGAAGGCAGAGGCCTTGGGCTGGGAGCCCACAGGCGGTATCTAGCACGTGTGTGGTCAGTGGGCTGTTCTGGGGCTCCATGCCACTACCCTAGACTGAGAGTAGCAAGGGAGAGTTCCTGAGGGCCTGTGTGCATAGACCTGGCTGAGTCCACGGGCTGTGATGAGAACAAATAGTCCAACTGCCCCGGGAGCAAGCTGAGGACAAGGGTGAGTGGAATTGCCCCAGGCAGGATGAGGTGCCAAGTTTGTAAACGCTGACCTGTGTCCCTCCATGGTCCCCCATTAGGGACCCCCACTCTCCCTTCCCCCAGCCCCTCAGTTCCAGCTGGTCAGTGGCCTTGTTCTCCCAGAACCCGGCTTTCCTGCGTCCCTGGTTCGTAGGTCCTCTGGGAGCTTAGTTCCCTCCTCTTCCCCCCGAACCCACCTGCAGATGAGGGGACACGAGCCCTGTGGGTTCAGACAGCACCCCCCACCCTTACGTGCGGGGAGCCCAGGTGTCGCTGGAATGTCAGTAGCTGCGGGCGACCCGGAGCTCGAATCCTGTCTCCCAGCTCTGGTTTGTGCGATGCCTGTGGACCGGGAGAGCCTGGCGGGTAGAGGTCACTCCTGGGCACAACAAGCCCCTCAGGTCAGCCCGGCCTCTGCCCCGCCCAAGTGCCCAGGGCCACCCATGTAATTACACCTGGGGAGGCCGCCCTGTCCCGCCTGGCGTACCCCAGTCGGGCGCGGCTCCACCTCGGTGGCCACCCGGAGGGCGAGGAGGCCTTTGTCCACAAGGGTGGAGTGGGCGGCAGAGCCTCCTGTCCAGCCGGAGTATAACTGCGGGGGTGGAACCCGAGCGGCGGGTACCCGCCCGGGCGGAATCCGAGGGGGGACCGAAGGGGCGGAACCCGAAGGGCGGGGCGGAACCTACGAGGCGGAACTCGAGGGACGGAACCCGAGGGGCGGGATTCGCGCGGGCTGGGAGGCTTCGGGCGTCTTCTGGCCCGTCTCCCTTCTGATTGAAGGTTCTCAGTAGGACTGAAGAGGTTTCCGGTTCTGGCTACCCCCGTGACCTTGCCTCAGTTTCCTCATTTGTAAAAGGGAGCAGTAAGGACTCCTGAGGTGTTGAGAGTGCGTCCTAGGACAAGGCGAAGCTCCTTACCGCCCTCTATCCGCTGCTCGGCTCCTCTTACAGAGAAGGTGCGAGGGCTGCACTCTGCAGGTGAGGAGTGATGGCTGTGCGCGACATGACTCCACCTTGTATTTAAGTTACATAACATATATAGAAAACAAATTTTGGATACCTCATGTAACATAAAAAGCAAAGGCAAGGATTGGGGATGTAGCTCATTGGTAGAGGGTTTGCCCCAGCACCGCAAGAAAACAAAGCACTCTGAAGGTGATTGGGAAGCATCCATTTAAGGTCTAAAGGGCATACTTGGCACCGCGCCTGTTTAAGATGGCCCCAAGGAGACGCTCGTGCCTGCGTGGCAAATACCCATGGATGCCAGACACTAGAAACGACTAGACCAAGTAAGTAAGTGAGGCGGTCACACGCCAGCATTCTCTGCAGGCTTTTAAGGGGAGACCCATTTGTAAGATGAGGAACAACATCTGGAAACATTTCTAGAAACAAATGAGAAGACACAAACAGTGGTATAAAGTAGGGATGCTGTTCCAATTTAAAAATTAACCCGTTTTACAAGGATCAGCTTACCTAACCCTTACAACAGCCTCATGATGTATTATTACTATTGTTTAGCAGAAGAAACAGAGCCACAGAGAGGCCATTATTGAAATATTTCTTAGTAGGTCACACAAGAAACTGATAATGGTGGCCATCTCCCAAGGTAAGCCTTTATTTTTTCTGGTTGGCTCTTGTAAATTTTTTAAACAAGGGCTAGTATCACTTTTTTAAAATCTCAAATGCTATGAATAAACTTAACAAAATCAACAATTAACCCCTTTTTGGGGGCATGCCCTTTATCCTCTCCAGAGAGACTTTACACTGGAGGGAACTAGTGGTGGGGGTGTGCAAAGGGGTTGTCCAAATTTCTCCTGGATCCTTTCCAGCCCCAAATCTTGCATCCACTTAGATAGGGAAGGACTGCAATTTCCTTTTTCTAGGAGGCCTGAGACCCTCAGTCCTGCCTGGTTTCCTGCCACATTGCCCTGAGAACCAGTCATCACTGAACTTATACTCCTCAGCCCTGTTGCCTCATCTTTAAGGCACATATATACTAAAACATTGCCAAAAAAAATACCCAAATGGCCCGTTTTGGACTCAAACACAGTTATAATAAAATATGAAAACATTTCAAAATGATAAAGATGTCTGCAGTGTGAGGTCTAGGGTACTTAGTTTTGTGGAGTGTACAACTTGAAGAACACACACAGTACTTGCCAACCATGCAATGTGGGGGAGACCTAGCCAGGCGGGACAGTCACCTAGGCTTGAGTGAGGAAAGTCCATGTGCATTTGTGTGAGTTGAAGAGGCAAGCATGACCTTAGTATATGAGAGGTCAGCAGAACTACTTGTGACGGAAATGCGGGTAGTGGACATTTGGTTTTACAAACAGGGAGAGACATCTTGGAGTTAATGATTCCCTTCCCTTAATTTATTGTGGTAAAATATACATGTCATAAACTTTACCTTTTTAACTGTATGCTAGGGACACTCGTATTGTAGTGCAATTTTCATCCTTATCAATCTTCAGAACTTTTTCATCCTCCCAAACTGAAACTCCTAAACCAAAACTTGTTACTAGGGAAAATTTCAAGCACACAGAAAAGCTGAACAAATAATGCAGTGAGTACCCAGACACTCACCATGTGTGCTCACTAGGGTTAACATGTCTTCATATTTGGTTTATGTATGTATACATCCATCTTTCTATCCATCCATTTCAAACATCCATCTATTTGTATTACCTTTCTATTACTGCATATCAAGTTGGCTTAAAATAGCACATATTTATTATCTCAGTTTCTGTGGGTCAGGGGTTGAGTCTTCAGGGTCACACAAAGATGCATTCTCATGTGGATAACTGCTTCTAAGCTTGCTCAGGTTGATGGAAGGATTCATTTCTGTGAACGTGGAACTGAGGTCCCTATTTTCTTGCTGGTTGTTGGTTTGAGGCTGATTGCAGTTCTTGCCTGAGACCCTTGTATATGCAGTTGACAACACGGCTGCTTGCGTATTCAAAATGAGAACCTCTGGTTTCAGATGGCTAAGAGAATTTTATGTAACATAATAATTGAAGTAACATATCACTTGTGTTACATTCTATTGGTTAGAAGCATGTCAGAGATTCTGCCCACACTCATTGAAGGTCATGGTATTATCCATCCATCTACTTCCTATTTCTACTTCTCTCCTTCCACACATCTGTGTATCTAGCTAGCTGAACTATTTGAAAATTGCAGACACCAGGACTTTTCACTGTTCAATGTCCACAGAAATCTCCCAAAGAACTTTCTTCTACTTGACCACAGTAGCATTATCATACCAAGGAAAACTCGACAATAATTCCTAATATAATTTCTAATTATATATATAAAACTTACCCCTCCTTGACCACACATTGTCTTTTATGGCTATTTTTCTTTTTTAGTTTTTTTGAAACAATATGTAGCCCAGGCTGATGTGGAACTTGCAATCCTCCTGTCTCAGCCTCCTGAGTACTGGGATTAAAAGTGTACACCACCAGGTCAGCTTCTTTTAATTCTTCTAAACTATGCTCTAGTTAAGGTTCATTGTTGACTTTTTGTCTCTTTTAAACTGAATGGTCTTTCCAATTGTTTATGAGGTTGATTCTTTAAAGAGACCAGGCCAGTTGTCCTACTTCTGGGTTCATCTGTTTTCTTCTTTGGGTGTCTTTCAGCTGACTACTTTATCCCTTTAAACTGGAACTTTGGTCCAAAGGATTGATTAAAGTCAGGTCAAACAACTTATGTCAAGAACATTCTAGAAATTAGACTGGTAGAGTGGCCCAAGTGGTAGAGCTCCTGGCTAGCAAATGTGAGGCCTAGAGTTCAAACCCCAGTACCAACAAAAAATAAAGACCATTCCAGAAATTAAGCTGAATATCCTAGAGTATTGTGGGAGACCAGTAACTAAATGGACTGGTCTGATATGTGCAAGGCTGTGTCAAAGACCTTTGTGCTGAGAAGGCAAGGCCCTGGCACAAAGGAGATGAGCAAGGTTCAACAAGGCTACCTTGCAAGTAGGGAGACTGAGGCAGTGGAGATAGACCTTGGCATGAGCACAGCTCTGTCAAAGGGCCCCTTGGCTGATAGGCATGGACCCAGCCAAGGGGAGGCAAGGTTCAGCAAGGCTGCCTTACAGGGAAAACAGGGCATGTTGACATAGTCAGGATAGTCTACAGTAGATAACAACATACCTCAGCTCCTATGTGACTGCACCCATGAGAACTTGACCTGCACTGCACACAATCCTCCTGGTCTCTACCTCTTGAGTAGCTAGGCTTATAGGCATGAGCCACTGGCTCCCAGCAACCACACACATCTCTTAAGATAGGTTTAATTCTCAGAAAAAGACGTATTTAACAGAGGCCCTGTAGAGGAGTGCAGTTGCCCAATATTTGGATCAGTTGTGACCACCTTCCCCTTTTCCTCCTCTCAGTAAATGTACTACCTTTCACCCACTGCTCACCCAATAGCCAAAGGACCACCTGAAGGAGTTGTAGTTGCTGTTAAACAGAAATTCTGATTATTTATATCCTATGTGGATGCATCCAGGCAGGATATGTAGATGTTGTGAGGGTGGTAATAAAAGAAGTTTATTAAAGGTTAGGGAAAGAAGTTACTAAAGGCCATGATGGACCGGTGGAAATAGGAAGCAGAGAGCTTTGTGTGTTTCAAGGTGTTTTAAAAAAGATCATGCTAACCTGTGGGAGGGGAACAGCCTGAGCAGTTTTGATCACCAATAATCATCGTGTAGGGAGGGGTCTGGACTATCCCCGGGGGAGGGTGAGAGAGAGAGGGAGAGGGAAAGGGAGAGAAAATGTTCAATCTGAAATAGAGTATGTCAATTATGTATGTCAAGAGTACTGATCTCTTCTCTGTACTGGCCTGCCTCAAAGAGACAGTGTATGTCAGGGTTAGAACCTGGCTTCCAGGCCAGACTGCTAGGTTCTGAGCCCCAAGTTATGCTGGGTTGGTTGTTCATCAGGAGAGTGAACCTGGAGAAGGGCTTGCCTGACTTTATATAAGAAAAAGTTACTTTTGCCATTTGGTCTTCTCATTGTCTTCTGTTATTTTCTCCCCTTACATTACCAAAGTCACTTGCTCCATTCACTCCCTTCACACTATGAAGTGAGCAGCTTTTGATTCATCATATGCTTTCTGTAATGATGGTCTCCTCACAGGCCTAAAATGATTGTAGCCAAGTGACCGTGGATTTATACCTCTGAACCTGTGAGTCAAAAAAATTAAAAGCTAGGGTTAGGGTTAGGGCTAGGGTAGGGTTAGGTTTAGGGGTTAGGGTTAGGGTTTAGAGTTAGGGTTAGCACTTACTAGGGTTAGGGTTAGGGTTTAGAGTTAGGGTTAGCACTTACTAGGGTTAGGGTTAGGGTTAGGGTTAGGGTTATGGAACTGAAGTTCATTTATTACCAGCTTAAAATATAGTATCATAATCCCTACATAAAACACCTACTGAAGATAAACACAGAGAAATGGACAAGAATCAAAGTGTGTCACTATACAAATCAATGACACGATTATAAGAAATAAAGAAAACAACTTACAAAATGGCAATAGTAAGTTCTTCAGTATTATCTTTAAATACAAGTGGTTTATAGTTAATCCCCAGAGAAAACACATCAATTGGGTAATGGGATTAAACCTAAAAAAATCTAC